CGAACCGCGATTGGTTCGCAGGCCCGTGCTCAATCCACTGAGCTACACCAGCCAGGGTCTTCTTTTGTGAAATTTTAACATACGCTTCAGCTCACTGTCTTGAGGTTTGGTTGGACTTCCTGAACTGTACCCACTGCGTCTGGTTCAGGGCAGATATTTGAGCAGCGTTTCCATAAAATATTTGGGATAAACCTTCTCTTTTCCAGATTTATCCCTCGCTCTCCTGTTGCTGGGGGGCTTCAACCGAGGAAGCCTGTGGACTTTTCTCCCGCAAGGTTCAGCTCTCTCTCACGGTTCAGCCTGCCTCGGGCTGAGAGGTGTACAAAGGAGAAACTCACCTCCTGCCTTGCCTTTTTCTGAATTTCAGTTCCCATCCCGTTTCTGCCTGTTTCTGGTCAATTTCTGGTGCTGTTAACTGTTTTGTGATTTATCCAGAATTTGTGACTGTTAACCTTGGGGAAGGTTGGAATTTGAATCCAAATGTGTGGATTCCAAACTTTTCATTATGGTCACATACTGTCCCCTAGTGGCTGCAGGGGGTGAATTGGTTTATGGAGAAGTAGGGCAAATTTGTAGACTTTTGTAGACTTTTTAAAACGTTAAAATATCCACACATGGTGACAAGTTACTTGTACAGAACAACTTTTTAAGGCAAGCTGCCCTGCACCTCATCACTCTTAGGGGTTCTCCCCAGAGGTATTTTTTAAAATCTTTAGCATGATTTGGTTCTTTTAAAACTCTGGCCAAGTATACTCACGGAATATGAAATTCTAAATATACAAGAAGCTATATGAGGTCTAAAAATGAGGTCTAGACCTCATTTGAGGTCTAGAAATGAGGTCTAAGACCAAGACCTAAAAATGAGGTCTTCCGCCCCAGCTGGTGTGACTCAGTTCATTGGGCATTGTCCCACAAACCAAAAGGCCACATGGGTTGCAGGTTCAGTCCCTTGGGACATGATCTTTCTGACCCTCTCTTTCTCCCTCCCTTCCCCTCTCTGGAAATCAAAAATAAAATGTTTAAAAATGAAGTCTTCTTTTCACGAAGTTGACACATGGCCAGTGTTTCATTCTAGAAAGAATTTACAGAGATTTGAGTGAATATACTCCAATTCTTCTTCTTTTAATAGTTATGATAGCAGCCCTGGCTGCTGTGACTTGGTAGATTGAGTGCTGGCCTGGGATCAGAAGGTTGCTGGTTCGATTCCCAGTCACGGTACATGCCTTGGCTTCCAGCCAGGTTCCCAGTTGGGCTATGTGAGAGGCAGCCGATTGATGTGTTTCTTGCATATTGACGTTTCTCTCCCTCTTACTCCCTTTCCCTCTCTCTAAAAAAGTAAATAAAATATTTAAAAAAATAGATGATAGCAGATGCCTAAAAATATTTGTACCTTTTCTCTTTTTTTTAAAATAATAATTTTCAGCCCTGGCTGGTGTAGCTCAGTGGATTGAGCCCCGGCCTGCGGACCAAAAGATTGTGGTTCGATTCCCAGTCAGGGTACATGTCTGGGTTGCAGGCCAGTTCCCAGTGGGGGACCCATGAGAGGCAACCATACACCAATGTTTCTCTCCTTCTCTCCTTCCCTTCCCCTCTAAAGATAAATAAAATCTTATAAAAAATAATAACTTCCCAAAGAGGTTTTGTATTTTAAAAAAGATTTTATTTACTTATTTTTAGAGAGAGAAGAGAAGGAAACATCATTGTGAGTGGTCGCCTCTCATGTGCTCCCATGTGCCCTGACTGGGAATCAAACTGGCAACCTTTTGGTTCATGGGATGACAGCCAACCCATTAAACCAGCCAGTCAGGGCTTCCTTGTTTTTCTTTTTTTCTTTAAAGATTTTATTTATTTATTTTTAGAGGGGAAAAGAAGGAGAGAGGGAGAGAACTGGCCTGCAACCCAGGCATGTGCCCTGACTGGGAATCGAACCGTGGTTGCTTGGTTCCCAGGCCCGCGCTCAATCCACTGAGCTACACCAGCCAGGTCTTGTTTTTCTTAAAAAGACTTTTTTTTGAGATAAAATTCTTTGATTTTATTATTTAAAAAAAAATCCCCACCTGAGGATATGTTTATTGATTTCACAGACAGGGGAAGGAGAGAGATACATCCATGTGAGAGAGAAACATCGATTGGCTGCCTCCTGTGCCCACCCCGGCCAGAAATCGAACTTGAACCCAGCCTGGGCGTGTGCCCTGACCGGTAGTTGAACCCACAACCTTTTGGTGTACGGCATGACACTTCAACCAACTGGGCACCCGGCCAGGGCAGCATCCTCCAACCTTAAATTCACTTTTTAAAAAAAGATTTTATTTATTTCTTAGGGAGGGGAAGGGAGAAAGAGAGAGAAACATCAGTGTGTGGTTGCCTCTCGTGCACCCATTCCCAGGGACCTGGCCTGAAACCCAGGCATGTGCCCTAGACTGGGAATCAATTTGGTGACCCTTTGGTTTGCAGGCAGGGGCTCAACCCAATGACCCACACCAGCCAGGGCTAAATTTACTTTTTTCATAGAGGAAATAAAGAATATATATTCTGAAGACTGTTTCACTTCAGTCCATAAAGGCTGTCTCCATTTCCTTTGTCTTTTTTTAACAGCTGCTTTATTCTCACCGAGATCATTTAACCTGTTCTTTCCTGACCAAATTCCAGTTGTTTCTTGTCTTTTACAAGTGATGCTGCATGGAAGGTGCTAGCATGTCATGTAACCACCACAATTAAGATACAGCCCTGGCTGGTGTGGCTCAGTGGATTGAGCACCGGCCTGCGAACCAGAGGTTCGCTGGTTTGATTTCCAGTCAGTGCACACGCCTGGGTTGTGCGCCAGGTCCCCAGTAGGGGGCGCGCGAGAGGCAACCACTCATCGATGTTTCTCTCCCTCTCTGTAAAAATAAACAAAATATTTAAAAAGATACAGAACAGTTCCGTCAGCCCCCCAGACTCTCATGCAAACCCACCCTCTGAAGTCAAATCCCTCTCCTCTCCTGGCAACCAAGGATTTGTTCCCTGTTCCTATGGTTTTCCTTTTTCCAGAATTAATCTCCCAATTTAAAAGCCTTAACAAGTAATTGCAAGGGTCTTTTGTCTTTCTTTCTTTTTTTTTATCCTCACCCGAGGACTTTTTTCAGCGCCTTTTCGAGAGAGAGGAAGGGGGGAGAAAGAGAGAAACATTGATGTGTGAGAGGAACGGCGATTGTCTGCTTTTTCATAGGCACCCCAACCAGGGATCGAAGCCACAGCCTGGGCACATGTCCTGACTGGAATCAAACCCGTGACCATTTGTCCACAGGACGATGCTCCAACCAGCTGAGCCACCGGGGCCAGAGCAGTCATTGCCAAGGTCTTCAAGTGCTGCCTCCGGCCTGTTGAGGCTGCAGCCTGCAGCAGGCACGCCCCGCCCAGGATGCGCCCCGGGCCCGCCCACTTCTGCTCTAAACTTCAGACCAGTGTCTAGGGAACCTCTGCTGAGAAAAGGCAAAATCAGTTTCCACTTCCTGTCTCTCTTGTTCTGTACCACTGTTGCTTCCTCTTCTTGTTCCCTTCGAAAGCTTAGGGAACCTATTTTTTGGAGCGAGGACACGCACACACCCCGCCCCTCCCTGCAAAGGGCCTGACTTGTGAATAGGGCTGAATTTCGGTTCTTCGTGGAAATAAAGGTGCCAGGATGGAAATCCTTGAAGTGGTTTGGGGCGTGGGGGTGGTGGGCACCACACCGAAACAAGATCAGAGTCCTCGAGAACCTGTGAGAAAAAGCTAGAAGGACTCAGCGGCAGCTGAGGGTGCTGGGGAAAAGGGGGTGCTCTGGGTAATGTGTGAGGGCGTTCCTGTCCCGAGGTTGTGGCGAGGATTCCAGGGGGCTTTAGACTGCAAGGTCCAAGTGGCCAGGGCTCCTGGAAGGTTCGGGGCAACTGGGCCAGATTCCAGACACTGGGGCCGAAGCGTGGGGTGAGAGAGCCCTCAGGGGTCAAGGAAATGTTGACCTAGGGGTCTACAAGTGCCTAGGGGAGCAAACACTGGGTTGGGGGGCTTCTGAGGGTGCAACGATGAGCCCACCCACCCTCGTACTAAAACCTGTCCCTGCACCGGGGGTGGGGGCTGACCAAACAGCAGTTGGGACACTTCTGGGTCCTTCGACTCCCATCTGGACACTACATGAGAAACCCTTTTACCAAACGGACAAGGCGGATGGTATGAGCACCCAGATCTCCCTTTGGCTGAAACACGCGCACGCGCGCATGCGGAGAAAGGCCCGGAAGGAGAGGACCTAGGGATCATTCAGGGAAGCACAAAGGTTAAGACTTTTTTAAAATCTTTGCTGGACTGGGTGTTCTCGTTCGCCACCTTGCCCAGGGATGCTTTGGTGATCAAGGTTATTCAGGACAAGGCTTTAAGGGCTGTGCCTGCTGCCCCAGTCAGGCCAGAACCCCACGCAGGTCTACCAGGCCCACGCCTCTGACTTCTTCTCCCACGCCCTCCCCCTCACTTGCTCAGCTCCTCAAACCTCCCAGTGCTTCTGCCTCTGGGCCTTTGCACTTGCGGTTTCCTCTTCCTCCTCGCCCTCCTGCAGTCAGTGCTGGGGTGGAGCTGTGGGGGGGGGGGAGTTCCTGGCCACCTCTAGACTGCCTGCTTGTTGCTCTCTGAAAGAACGCTATTTCCTTTGGGTGTGTTACCACACTTGACTCTGGCAGAGGTGCTCTTGGGCATCTCATAGACTTTGAATTTGGCCTAACCAGAAGCATGCGAAGGGGCTCCTATCCAGCTTGTTAGGGTGGTGCCTTCATAGATTGGCAGCCGGGACCTCAAACCTCTGGCCAGTTAATCAGGGTTAACGCTGTGCCTTTGCATTCAACTCAGGTTTTACTCTTAACCTGTGACCAACATGAAACACTCGCAGCCCATGCTTTCCAACTCGAGTCATTCCAGCGTGCCCGCCACCACGGGAGAGTCTCCTCGCCCGCCGGCCCGGCAGGTCCCCGAGGAGGCAAATGAAGACGCGGCAGGGCCAGCGGCTTCCCAGCCCTTTATTTTCTCTCTGGGCTCTCAGGCCTGCATCACCGGCCGCGACTTCTCTGCCTGCAGCTTCACTCCGGAGCCCGCAAAGCCCGTGCCGCCCTGGGGGAGGGAGAAGGCAGACATGAAGGCGGACTGAGGGCTGCAGGTGGGGATGTCCTAAGCCAGCGACGCGAGACAGAAAGGACTCGGACTGGGAAAGGTTGGGGCGGGGCCTGGGGTGATGAGGCGTGGTCAGGCCTAGAGGGGGCGGGTCTTCCAGGAGAAGGGCGGTGTGCTGGGTTAGGAGCGGGTAAAGGGGCAGGTGAGGGGCGGAGCCTTAGAGAGGGGACTGGGAGGAGGGCACCGTGGGAGGGGACCTGCTCACCCGCTGCAGTACGATTATGTCCCGGTCTGTGAGCTTCTCTCCGTTCACTGGGTCCACCATGTCCTTCCGAATCAGCTTCTCCACGCATTCAAGGGTGACCACGGCCCCACTGTGGTGAGGGGAAGGGTGGGGTCGCCGATTAGAGGCCCCGCCCCAGGGAGAGCCACACCCCCTAACCTGCTCCCCACACCACCCAAGTACCCACGTGTGTCCCCCCCCACAGGAGACTCACGAGGGCCGCAATACCGCGCAAGGCGTGGCATTGCTCAGGCTGTCGCGGGTCACGGCGCACACGTAGCGCTCACTGCGCGTAATGAGCCCCACGCGGTCCACGGAGCCGTCCAGAGGCGTGAAACGCACAGGCGTCAGGTCGGACATGCGCAGAGGCTTCCCGGACATGGGGCAGGTCACGGTGCGTGACTAGGAGAGGAGGAGAGAGGCAGGGCTGGGTGGGCTGCGGGGAGCATGGGGGCGTCCCTGTGATGGAGGGGAGGGTACCCTGGGGACAGGGGCGCAGGGGCGCTTGTTGGGGTGCTCACCGGCTTCTCCAGCTTGGTGGCTTTGGCCTCGGGCGTCAGCGACGGGATCCAGAAGCTGGGCAGCATTTTGTCCTTGTCCTTGTCCTTGTCCTTGACTGTGGGGCCGGCACTGAGACCTGGCGGGGCATCATCTACAGGGAACAGAGCAGAGGGGTTCCGACGCTGCACTTAGGTAAGTACCTGGCCCTGGGGGACCCCCACCCACCTGCAAGTCTGCTCCCCCTCACCTGAGCCATTCCCCGAGGCGGCCTTGGACGTGAAGGGGTTGAGGGGCCGGCTCACGATGGCCGCCTCCTTCTCCAGGAAGCCCCGCACCTGGTCCTGCGACGCGGCCAGCTGCAGCTCTTTGCGCTCCTCCCGCCGCGCGCTGCGCTGCTTCTCGTAGGCCTGCGGGCAGCCAGGGGGCAGGGAGCTTGGCGGAGGCCCCGGGAGGCTTTGCGCGTGAGCGCAGCGGCATGGAAACCACCCCACCCCCCCACCCCCCACCCGGGCGCCCTGCTCATCATCTTCCTTACCTTCATCTGCCGGGCGATCTCCTTCTTCTGGTGTAAAATGTACTCCAGGATCGCCTCGCGCTCATACAGGTAGCCATCTGGGCTGCAGAGAGAGGAAGGGACGGGAAAGACGGCTTGGCCCAGGCCACACAGCCCGGGGTCCAGAAGCACAAGGTAGAGCCCGGCCCCCTGGCCTGGGCACCCACCCACTGACCATTTCGCGGGCAGCAGCTGACTCGGGGCCCAGCGGCTTAATTTTCCTGGCTGCTTGAAGCACTAGGACATGTAGCTCACTCCGTGGGCCTGGGCTGGCCAAACCCTGCACGTTCAGGAGGGCTTGCCCTTGACGAGCTCCTGGGAGGGAACCTCTAAGGCCTTGGAGTGTCCTGCTTGAAGCGGTGTCTTTGTTCATTTTGGCCGGGCCAGGGTGGGGGTGTTGCAGGGCGGGGCTGTGTGGTATCGACATGGTCTTGAAAGAGGCTGGAGGCCAAGGTCAGCCACATGGTGGCCAGTCATGTCTACATGACCAACCCCCAGTAAGAACCCTGGACACTAGGGCTCGGGTGAGCTTCCCTGGCGGGTGACACTCCATGTGAGGTGCCACACGTCGCTGCTGGAAGAATCCAGTGCGGCTCCACCAGGGAGACACCTGGAAGCTGGCCTCCAGTGTCCCCTGGACTCTGTCCCAGGCGTCTTTTCTCCGTTGCTGGTTTGAATCTGTCCCCTTTCACTATGACAAACTGTCACTGTGAGTGTGACAGCTCTGCTGAGTTCTGCGAGTCCTTCCAGGCCACAGGCGTGTCCAACCTGTGGCCCGAGGACCACATGCAGCGCAGGCTGGCTGTGAATGCGGCCCAGCACAAAATTGTAAATTTACTTAAAACATGGGATTTTTTGTGTGTGCGTGTGATTGTGTTGCAGTGTATTTAATGTGCGGCCCACGATGACAATTTTTCCAGTGTGGCCAAGAGATGCCAAAAGGCTGGGCACCCCCGTGAGGGGACCCGTGACCCTGAAGGTGGCCACGGGGACCCTGATGCACAGTCTGCTCTCATCACTGCCTCACGGCAGTCCTGTAGTCGGGCACACAGTCAGTCACTGCGCTAAGGACCGCACACTTCGACCCTGCTGAGGCCTGTGCCGGGTCCCCAGAGGCAGGTGAGGAGAGAGCTCCGCGTGGGAGCTGTCGTGAGGGGCCGGGGGAGGTTCCCGGAGCCCACCCCTCTACTACAGAGAAATCCTTTCCCACAATGCCCCGGGAAACACCGCAGCATCGCGCCACCTCTCAGACCAGGACATGAGACTCTGGAGGCGGATGGCTTGCGCTCGGCTCCAAGGCTCTACGGGTGCCCACGCCCACTCCTACAGACCCCTCCCTGGGGCGCCCTCCCCGCCCACTGTCCCCGCTCACGTGACGACGGGGTCGTGGCAGGGCTGCAGAGACAGGCAGCAGCAGTCAAAGTCCTTGACGGCGTCCCGGCTCAGTCGGATGTTCTGGGTCCCGTAGCCTGAGGCCGCTGCGGGCAGAGACCAGAAAAGGGATGGAGGGACATGGGGAGACAGGGCTGTGTGTCGGTGTGCCTGGGAGCCGGGGACAAGGGCTGCCCAAGCCGCAGGAAGGCGTTAATCCCCAGAAGGCTTTCTGGCTCGGGGACTGGGGTCTAGAGCCTGGACCTCTCTGGGCCGCCTCGGGGATGTCGCTATGGCGACCGCGACCCCTTCCCTGGGAGGATTAGATGAGTTCACTCACATATAGAGATGCTTAACGCGGTGCCTGTCACATGGGATGTGGGGACAGGGTTGCTGGGTCACGTGGATGATGTGGTCGTGACCATCAGTTGGGGGACAGAGACACGCAGAGGTGCCAGGTGCCGTGGTGACGTCGCGACACATCGGTCCCACTCCCAGCCCAGTACCTGTGTCCTTCTTCTTCTCGTGGTAGGTGTAGACCGCCCCCGCCGTGCAGTTCTTGCCGTGACGGGTCATCCTGGGGGAGGAGGGACAGGTGGAGGGCGTTGGTGGCCACAGGAGCCGATCTGTGCCCCCGGGCGGGAAGCTGGCGGTGGGGCAGGGGCGGACAGTATTACACACATTAAATGCTTAAGAAATTCCTACACGTTCCAAAAAAGAACCCGTTTGCTTACTGTAGGCCTGGTGTCGGTGGGTGGGGGTGTGCCTACGAATCAGTGGGAGGGGGTAGGGGGAGTTAGCTGAAATCTGATGGATGGGCGAGGGCCCAACGCGGATGGGTGTGGCTCCGCACGCACCACGTGGGGTCGATGTTCAGGGCGCATGTGCAAGAGCGCTTGGTCTGCCTACGTTCTCAATTCGACTGAGTGCAGATTCCGGGTTCTCCTAGTCCTTGTGGTGGGTGAACTCACATGTAAGCAAAGGTGAAAACTACATCATGCTCACATTGACCCCTAATGTTTGATAACAAGCATCAGAGTAAAACAGAGCACACAGGGAACTCTGGCAAAGCAACATGAAAAGTTCAGCCGCCCTGGCCAGGTGGCACAATTGGAGCATTATCCTGTCCACCCAAAGACTGAGGGTTCGATTCCCAGTCAGGGCACATGCCTGGGCTGCGAGCCAGGCCCCCAGTTGGGGGTGCACGAAAGGCAACCACACATTGATGTTTCTCCTTCTCTTTCTCTTTCCCTTCCCCTCTCTCTAAAAATAAATAAAATCTTTTAAAAACATGAAAGAAAATAACATTAAGTTTAAAAAAAATACAGGTACATTTTTAAAAAAAGATTCTATTTATTTATCTTTAGAGGGGAAGGGAAGGAGAGAGGGAGAGAAATATCAATGTATGGTTGCCTCTCGTGCGTCCCCTGCTGGGAACTGGCCTGCAACCCAGGCATGTGCCCTGACTGGGAATCGAACCGTGATTCTTCGGTTCACAGGCCCGCACCCAGTCCACTGAGCTACACCAGACAGGGCTACGGGTAGATTTTAAAAAGACCTTTTGTTTCTTCCTTTTTGCACCAGGCTGGGTGCAAAAAGGAAGAAACAAAAGGAGATCGATGGCCATCTACATGTGCCAAAATGATACAAAGAATGCTACAGACAAAAGAGTCGCACATATTAGAGTAGTTGCCCCTGTAGGGAGGGAGGGGACTGAGTAGCGGACAGGCAAGAATGAATGAATGAGACGCAGAGGGGGTAACATGGACGAATGTGGGGAGGACTAAGCAATATGACCCGTGTGGGCTTGAGTGCAAGGTTGGCCCCGCACTGACGTGTGACTCTGGACTGGTGATCTCCCTTTCCTTTATTTTTAAATTATTTTATTTTATGTTTTTATCCTCGCCCAAGGACATGCCCATTGATCCCAGAGAGAGAGGAAGGGAGGGAGAGAGAGAGGAAAAAAACAACCCAACATCAATGTGAGAAACATCAATCTTGCCCCTTGGAAGTGCTCCGACCTGGGATTGAACCCGCAACCTTTTGGTGCACAGAACGATGCTCGACCAACTGAGCCACGCAGCTGGTGATCTCCCTTTTCTGTGACTCAGTTTCCCTTGGTAAAAAATGGGGATAGCTGGGGGACCTAGCTGGTGCAAGGGCTAAATGAGGTCATGTGCAGAGCATGACACACAGTGGGTGTTCAGGAAATGTTCTCCCTGGCAGAGGCGGAGTGGACTGAGGGTGGGGTAAGGGGGGGGCACATAACCAAGAGCTCCCGAAATGTAAAAAGCAGCTTTATCTTTCATTCCCTCCCTTCTGCTACTTTCAGAAACTTGCTTTTCACTTCCCAGGACTTGAAAGGCAACACTCTCTCTGAGCCATGGATCTCGCTCGCCCCCTACTGGTGACTTCTTCCCAGGAGCCAATTTTTGTTTGTAGGTTTATTTATAGAGAGTAGACGCACAGGCCACAAAGATGCAGTTTGATGCGTTTTAACAAACCCATGCACCTCGTCACCACCTCCCCCGATGGCTAAAGAGCATCGCTCGCCCCCCAGCAGTGGCCAGTCTGCTGCCTGCGGACGCGAACCTCACTGACGCACCCCAACGGAAGCCGCAGCCCCCTCCTCCAACTTCCCCTCACCCCCAAGCTTCTGAGCGAGTGTCCAGCACCTGCTGGCTCCCCTCGGCTCCCCTGCCACCCGCTCCTCCGCTCTGGGCCCCTGGCTTCCGCCCAGCCCCCCCACTACCACTCAGGAAGGTCGAGCTGACCTCCCCGTGGACAAATTCTCCACTCTATTCTTAGTTGTCAACTGCCTTGACCCTCCGCGGTATTTGGCGCTGCGCTGCTTGTCCGGTGGCCAAGAACAGGGCATTTCTACGTCTTTGGCTTCACGGTCTGGGACATTTTTCCTCTTGAGAGAGAGGAACAGCTAGAGGGAGAGCTTTTTTTTTAAGCCATGACGGGAATAATCATGCGGGACGCTGCTCGGACCCCTGACCACGCGCCAATCCCCGCGCCCCCAATCGTCCAAGGTCAAACACCCTCCGGGCTGCCCCGTCACCATTCCCACTTTGCAGAGGCAAACTGGGGCTCAGAAGGGCGGCCATCTGCCTAGGGCGCTGGCTCTCCGAGGTCCCTAAGATACTTTCAGGGGGTCCACAAACAGCTGTTTCCGTGACTTTTGAACCCAGCGAGGTTCGCGTCTGCAGGCAGCAGACTGGCCACTGCTGGGGGGGCGAGCGATGCTCTGTAGCCATCCGGGGAGGTGGTGACGAGGGTGCATGCGTTTGTTAAAATGCATCAAACTGTTTCCGTGACTTTCGTTCCAGCAGAGAACAAAGTTTGCCTGTGCCGTGCTTAGGTTGCCATGCATGCTGAGTGGCACCTTCCTGGGGCTGTGAGATACGCGAAGACGTCGTCGCTCTGAAGGCTAACCGAATGTGCGCTTGGGTTTTAAAAACGTGTCCTGTGCCCTGGCTGATGTGGCTCCGTGGACTGAGCACCCGCCTATAAAACCAAAAGGTCACCAGTTTGATTCCCAGGCAGGGGGCACATCCCTGGGTTGGGAATCAGGTCCCCAGGTGGTAGAGCGTGTGAGGCAAGCAGTCCATGTCTCTCTCCCTCTCTTCCTCCCCCTCTCTCTATAAATACATACATAAAATCTTTTTTTTAAGTTTGAATATGTTTCAATTTCTTATAGGGCAAGTCTTAAAAGACAGAACGGAGACCAACAGAGGCTCGTTGGAGTCCTCCATGATTTTTAAGGTCCTGCGACCAGTGGTCAAGGGCTGAGGAGGTGGCAGGTGGCAGTGCCAGGGTCTCAAAACTCCAGAAGCCGAGCTTCCAGCCCCCAGGCTACCTCGTCTCTTCAGTGAGGCCAGTTTCAAAACAGAAAACAGACCTAGTGCTGTCTGCTGTCGCTTAGTATTTTGGAGACAACACATCAAAGCAACACCGGACATTCTTTTATACATTTCTTTAAAGATTTTATTTATTTATTTGTAGAGAGAGGGGAAGGGAGGGAGAAAGAGAGGGAGAGAAACATCAATGTGTGTGGTTGCCTCTTGCACACCCCCTACTGGGGATCTGGCCCATAACCCAGGCATGTGCCCTGACTGGGAATCAAACCGGCGGCCCTTTGGTTCACAGCCTGTGCTCAACCCACTGAGGCACACCAGCCAGGGCTCTTTTATACATTTTTAAAACTTATTTTTTTAATCCTCACCCAAGGATACATTCATAGGATTGTAGAAATAGAGGAAAGGAGAAGGAGAAGGAGAAAGAAACATCAATGTCAGAGAGAAACGTCAATTGGTTGCCTCCCATAAGGGCCCCGGCTGAGGACTGAACCGGCAGCCTCAGTGTGTGCCCTGAGTGGGAACAGACCCTGCGACCCTTCGGTGTTCAGGACGGCGCTCCATCCAACTGAGCCACCCAGCCAGGGCAACACCAGCTACTCTTTATCAACATTCCCACTTCACAGGAAGAAAACAGTCTCAGAAGATCAACCCCCCCAGCTGCGAAGTGGCAGAGCTGGGATTCGAACCCAGGAAGCCAGGCTCTGAGGCTGCCCTCTTAACCATGTGGCTCCTGTTAGTCCCACCAGGGAGGTTGGAATCTGAGAATTTCTGCTGTACAAAGTCTTCAAAGTCCAGAGTATGCTTTACTCTTTCAACACTTCTCCATTCAGACTAAGTCTCCATTGGAGATACTTGTCCTTATTTAGGTTTCATGAAACGGACTGGTGCAGAGCCTGGCCAGGTAGCTCAGTTAGTTAGAGCCTCGTCCAGCTACGCCAGGGCTGCGGGTTCCATCCCCGGTCAGGACACATACAAGCAACCAATGAATGCATCAATAAGCGGGACAACAAATCGATGTTTCTTTCTCTCTAAAGTCAATATATTAAAAACTGAAAATAAAAAATAGGCCGGTGCAAATGTACATTCACCTACTCCGGTTTTCCAATAACCGAATCAGGCACTGGTGCGTAAGTGAAAATGAAATCCAATGCAAGAACTTTAAAAGTCGGTCCCTCGCCCTGGCTGGCGTAGCTCAGTGGATTCAAAAACAGCGGGACAAATTCTCCTCTCTCCTTCCCCTCTAAAGATAAATAAATAAAATCTTAAAAAAAAGATTAAAAAAAAAAAAAGTCGGTCCCTCTGTGGCACTAGCCACATAACCAAGAGCCCCATAGCCTCCTGGGGTCAGCGGCTGCTGTACTGGACTGTGAACGGCATGGCGCTAGGACAGAAGGGCTTTTAAAACCATGACCCCAACGCCACTGGGACATTAGCAATTCCTTCACCTCATCGACTGTCCGGATGGTGTCCACAGGTCCCTGGACTGTCTCATGTCCAACTGTCCTGTTTTTGCAGTTGCTCTGTTTGAATCCTGAACCGTGGTTGTTGCTTTTTTTAATAAACATTTTAAGGATTTTATTTATTTATTTTTAGAGACAGGGAAAAGGAAGGAGAAAGAGAGGGAAAGAAACATCCACGTGTGGTTGCCTCTCACACGTCCCCTGCCGGGAACTGGCCCGCAACCCAGGCATGTGCTCTGACTGGGAATCCAACCTGCAACCCTTTGGTTCACAGGCTGGCACTCAATCCACTGAGCCACACCAGTCAGGGCTGAATCCTGAACCTGTGGTTCTTAACCACTTGGTGGTCTTAGCCATCCCTTTGAGACCCTAAAAGTACTACAAGCGTCTCTCCTCAGAAAGCTATCCGAGGGGGCAGAGGCCTCATTACATGGAAGGACATCACAGACAGAACGGGACCTGCTGAAAGCGGGTGAGAATCCCCAAAGAGCAAATGCAAGCCTCTGAGATTTTCTGTGAATAATGGCTGATATTTATTTAAGCCGTTTGGTGAACCCAGCCCTGTTCTAAGCATTTTACACATATCATCTCCACCAAATTCCACAACAACCCGAACAGTTGCTACAGACAGGGACACAGAGGTACAGAGAAGGTGCCCAAGGTCTCGCAGTGGAGGGTTGGACGCAGGTATCCAAGTCTGGACTTGACCATCACTGTTCTGCCCGGCTGCGGGCAGCCTGGGGCACCGTGCTGGATTCTTGGTGAGGAACAGGACTGCCCGGGTGCGCCTGGTCCTCCCCCCCACCCCCCCGGAAATCCTGTCTCTCTGGGCTCAGTCAGGTGTGCCTTGAACTCTGACAATGCCCTGGGTCACCCCCACTATAGCCACCACCACTCTTCCGTATTTCCTCCCCTGGACCAGGAGCCCCCAGGAGGGGACCCGGGTCAGACTTCAGTCTGGGCGGTAGCACTGCCCGACACCTGGGGGGTGGGGGGGCTCAGAGATGCCACAATGGGATCAGTCCACCATTTCCACCACTTCCAACGCCAGGGGAAGTGAGTGATCAATGAACTGATCACCCAACTAACCAATACATTTATCACAAAAGCACTAGAAGAATAGAAATGACCATGCTATCTTTCAAATAGTTAGGTACCGGGTCCTTTGCCAAGCACTTGCCCTGTCTGAACGCACTCAGTCCTTGTACCAGCGGCTGGAGGAAGGTTCTCCACAGTTTGTAGGTAAAGGAAAAAGATGCCCAGCCCTGACCGGGTAGCTCAGCTGGTTAGAGCATTGTCCTGATACTACGGGGTTGTGAGTTCGATTCCAGTTCAGGACACAAACGAGAATCAACCAATGAATGCATAAACCAGTAGAACAACAAATCGATGTTTCTCTCTTTCTAAAATTAATAAAAACAAAAAAAATGTTTTTAAGAGAACAGCCCCAGTGAGCATTTCGAAACAGAACTTTGAAATCACTCCCTTCAATGGCTTCCTGGACTTGGCTCAAGACAAAAATCAAACTGCTGGCCCTGGCTGCTGTGGCTCAGTGGATTGAGTGTGGGCTGTGAACCAAAAGGGTCGCTGGTCCGATTCCCAGTCAGCACACATGCCTGGTTTGCAGGCCAGGTCCCCCAGTAGGGGGCGCATGAGAGACAACCACACGATGCTTCTGTCCCTCCCTTTCCCTAAAAACACATGATAGATAGATAGATAGATAGATAGATAGATAGACAGACAGACAGACAGATAGAACCTTTAAAAAAAACCCTAAAAAAACAAACTGCTCAGATTTTAAGAACTAGGCGGAACGAGAGAACTAGAAAACCAGGAAAACCGTCACTATAAGCCCTGATGGTGATGGTGACGCCGTCGACCCAGGCAAGGACCACTGACACAGAAGCAAATGGCAACGGGACATTCTCAGGCTGCTAACCACCCTCCAGTAGGAAGGACAAAGCTGTAGCTGTACAATGGTGGGTTTCCATCATTCCGGTTGGTATCGATCAGCTAGGGCTGCCAAAGCCCAAATACCATCGACTGGGTGGCTTCAACGAGATGTTTATTTTGTCTCTGTCCTGGCAGCTGGAAGTCCGAGATCCAGGCAGCAGCGTCGCTGGGTCCTGGGAAGGACTCTTCCAGGCTTGCAGACAGCTGAGCACCCCGAGGTGCCCTCACACGGGAGGGGCCCTCACAGGGAGCCCTGATTTTAATGACCTCATATAACCTCAACCACTCCCGTAAAGGCCCTTTTCTCCAAATACTCACGCTGGCTGCGGCCTGGGCTTTGACACATGAACCTGGGGGGAGGGGACACACATTGAGTCTATAACCACCACCTGCAGCTCGGAGACAATCTCACCAGCCCAAAAGTGGGGACAACCAGGCATCATGCAACATGAAGCTACTAAGTCTGACGTATTCATGTCAAAATGGCTGAACCTAAATTTAATCGTTTATTTATTTATTTTTATTTTTAAATATATTGATGAGAGAGCAAGAGGGAAAGGGATCCATTTGTTGTTCCACCTATTGATGCACTCACTGGTCGATGCTTGTATGTGTCCTGACTGGGGATCGAACCCAGCACCTTGGCCTATCTGGACAATGCTGCAACTGAGCTACGTGCCCAGGGGAGTAATCAACACTTTCGATTTAATTTCCTGTTTCTAGGAAGTCACAGGATGTAACAGGGGTTGTCACCAAAAAGGGCCAGATAGGAAAAGATTTTTCAGCTCTGTGAGCCATACATGTTCACAGTGACTCGACTCCCCTTTTGTCCATGGCAAAAGCAGCTATGGACACTATGTAAGTATCTGGGCATGGCTGTGTTCTAATAAAACTTTATTTATGCACACCGACATCTGAATCACACATAATTGTCACACGGCACAAAATATTAGTTTTCTTCGCTTACATCGATGTTTCTCTCCTTCTCTTCCTTCCTTTCCCCCTCTCTTTAAAAAATAAATCATAAATTAAATCTTTAAAAACAATGAGAAAATTCTTGGAATGGACATTTCTCCAAAGAAGCACATGAGCCCTGGCTGGTGTGGCTTGGTGGATTGAGTGCCGGCCTGCAGACCAAAAGATCGCCAGTTTGATGCCTGGTCGGGACACTTGCCTGGGTTGTGGGCCAGGGCAACTGACTGATGATTCTCTCCCTCTCCTTCTCCCTCCTTTCCCCACTCTCTAAAAATAAATACAACCTTTGATAAAAAACAAAAAGCAGCACACGAAAAAAGGCTCTATATCCCTAATCTTCAAGAAAATGCAATGGAAACCACAGTGAGATACCAGTTCACACCCATCTAGAATGATTACGATAAAAACATGAGATACTAGGAGTGTAGAAACTGAGACCCTCACATGCTGAGGCTGGGAGTGTACAATGAAGTAGCCACTTTGGAAAACTGTGACAGTCCCTCCAAAGATGACACAGAGACTTACCATCTGACCCAGCAATTCCACTTCCAGTGGAATTGAAATGAAAACATGTCCACACAAACACATACAAATGTTCACAGCAGCATTATTCATGATAGCCCCGAGTAGAAACAACCCAAATGTTCATCAGTTGATAAATGGATAACAAAATATGATGTGTATATCTCCCACAAAGGAATATTATTCAGCCATAAAAAGAAAGTAGCCCTGGCTGGTGCGGCTCAGTAGATTGAGGGGGCGGGGCTATAAACCAAAGGGTCTCCCTTCAAATCCCAGTCAGGTCACATGCCTGGGCTGCAGGCCAGGTCCCCAGTAGGGGGCGCACGCGAGGCAACCACACATTGATGTTTCTCTCCCTCTATCTCCTTCCCTTCCCCTCTCTCTAAAAATAAGTAAATAAATGAAATCTAAAAAAAAGAAAGAAGTAGTAGCACATGCTACAGAATGGATGAACCTTGAAAACATTACGCTAAATGCAAGAAGCCAGACAGAAAAATGATTCCATTTATGAGATGTTTCTCTAGGTCAATCCCTAGAGACAAAGTGGATTGGTGGCTGCCTGGGGCTGGGAGGGGATGTAAAACGGGGAGTGACAGCTAATGGGTCCTGGGTTTCTTTATGAGTGATGAAACTCTTCTAAAACCGACAAGGGTGATGGTTGCACAACTCTAAATATACTAAAAAAGCACCGAATTGCACACTTTAAATGGGTGAATTACGTTAAGTGATTTACATTCCAATAAAGCTGATTAGAAAAGAAAAAAAAAAAAGGAGGTCAGCAGGTTTGGGTTTGGTTTTCTGACCCCTGGAATAAGTGAAATGAGATTACAAAGAAGCAAAAAGACAAATCCAGATGAAGAGATGATCAACAAAATAACTGACCCAGTTTCTTCAACGAATCGATTACGCCGTGAATGGTGTGCAGGGGAGATTGTTCTAAATGAAGATAAATTTAAGAGACATTGAGAGACGACTAGATGTCCCTACCTCAGGACCCGAGGGCTCTAGGCCGCGGGAACGCGACCCGGGCAACACTATCCCTCCACCACCTGGAACTCACCTCACTAGCGACTCCTTGTTCCTTCCTTGACTCTTCAACTGTTCCCCGTACCCCGGAAAGGAGCGTTGTTTTCTCTCTTAATTCCGCCCACTTCCGTGAGGAGAAAGAAACCGGAAGTTGAGCTGCCCCTAGTTGCGGAGGTACGTCATCTGGCTTGGTAAGTTCTCCCCTGTTCTCTTTCTCCCTCCAGAAATGTGAGTGACAGATCGAAGGTTCCGGTTAGGGAAGCTAGGATGAATATGGAGGCACGCTTAGTATCTACTAAGCATTTACCGGGGCAGGCGATTTCCTGCTTGTACCCACAACTTTGCGTCTCTCCAAGCCAGAGTTTGAGGACTAATCCCTTCCTCCAGAAACTGGAAACCCACTTCCTCAAGTATATCCACTTTTCTTGTAACTGAAGAGACAATTGAGACTGGACAATTCTTCTGTCCCTATTTTATAAACAGAGCCATGGGGAAATCTCGAGTCAAAGCCGTTCAGATCACTCCAGGAAACAGAAATTTACTACATCATACCCTCCTCTAGGGACCAAGGGATACAGGTCCCGCCAGTTTCTAAATATGTAAATATCTAGATACCTGGAGACCTGGACGTTTATTTCCCTAGCTTGGCTGGGCGAGCTCCCATTGGGGAAACAGGAGGAGCGGAGGAGGGGCCTATCCGGTTCCCTAAGTGTCCCACAATGTCGGGATTCTGAACCTTAGGGCTTTCATCATAAGGTCCCTTTAAATACTTTGTCCCTTACCTGAGTCCCGCCCAGGGCAGGTAGTCGTAAACCCCGCCCCTCTGCCACAAACCCTGATCGGGGAGGATTACCGGGAGCGGGAGCAGGGGACACCCCTCCTTTCCCTTCCCTCCCCTCTCTCCTGCTCCTCATCGCAGCAGCTGGCCGCAGCTGGCCTAGGAGGCCCTGGTTAAGGAGGAGGGGACAGTGTTCACAAGTCTGGACAGGTAAGTGAATGTCCCTGGAGGCAGAGTCTGGTCTGGGGACCTTGGCCTCCTGGCTCCTTGTTCCTCAGGGTCCGAAACTTCAGGGCCCCCAAGCCCATGAGTCCAGGGCACTGGACCCAAGAATTTAGACCCCTGTTCTTTCATCTCCTGTAACCTTTGATCTCTGTTGCTGGATGTGGCAATAGGCAGAGAGATAGAGCTATGCATGGAAATTACCAGGAAGAAAGGAATCCTCACCACCAATGGATTATGTTTATGAGCACCTGCTGTGTGCCAAAACTGTACTGGGGGCTGAAAACACAGAGGATGGAAAAGATAAGCTTTCTGCTCATTTCTGCAGGCACTCGCTGCCTTTGCTCAAATCCTGCAAACTGTTAAGACCATGGGCAAGTTCTTTGACCTCTCTGTGCCTTGGTTCTCTTATCCATAACATAGGGATAACAATAGCATCGTTGTGGAAACTCAACTGGGTCGATAGAATTAAACTACCTTGAACGGCATCTGGCCCAGAACACAGGCTATGGCAGTGCCTGCTCTTGTGACAATTCATGGGCCACAGAGTCCAGGTAGGGAGACCTTCAGGGGCTAAGGCACTTGTCATCTGCACCACACCTCGTTCCAGGTGTCCACAAAATATGAGGGGCGGGGGCCGCCCCTCTCTGCTGCTGCTATACCTGGGGTTGGCCACCTGCCTGGACACCTCACCCAGTGGGGAGCAAGACCAAGGTGAGTGTTTGGGGGAAGAGCTGGTATCCAGGCTCTGACACCCACCTTCCCCTGACTCTGGACCCCTTGCCTCTAGTCCTCTCCTACCCCAGGGCCCCACAGCTTTCCTCTTCTTGGGTTCAGATTCCTCCACATCTCTGGTCCTCCAATTTTCTGTCTGTCCTGTCCTTTGGGCCCAGAAGTCTTCGTGGACTCCCCAGAGGCTCAGAGCTTCCTGGCTAGTCGCAGACGAGTTCCTCGAGCCAATCACTGGGATCTGGAGCTGTTTGTGCCAGGGAACCTGGAACGCGAGTGCTACGAGGAGAAGTGCTCCTGGGAGGAGGCCCGGGAGTATTTCGAGGACAATACTCTGACGGTGAGGGTCTGGGAGTCCCGGAGCCCCCCGATTCCCCAGGACCCAATGGGCCAGGGAAGGGTCCTGATCTTCAATGACTTCTACCCTCTGGTCTCGGAAGTCTGGGTTGGCTGGTTGGGTGCACAGAATCTTGCAGTTGATGGCTGTCTTTCTCCTTTCTCTACTCCCACCTCTTCAAGGAGGGCTTTTGGGAGACGTACATCTACAATGGCAAAGCAGGTGAGTGGGAGGCCAAGCCCTCTTGTTCTGTGAAGCTAAGGCAGCCCCTTCCCGTCAAGGCTGAACCAACACTCCCACCCCGAATTCTCTGATTTCTGAGTTCCTGGAGGTGGCCGTTAAAAGCTTTCTCGCTTTGGAGACTAGCCGGGGGTCTGAGGAGCCCACCACATCTCATTCCAAGAGGTCCCATGTTTCCAGAAAGCGGGAAGTGAGGGTGGAGAGAGGAGTCACAGCCTGGGACCTCTGCACACCCTCAAACCCTTCTCTAAGTTCTGAGGCCCTGTCAACCGGCTGCAACCTTGCGGCTAAGGGGGGGGGGCGGGGGGAAGGGCTGCTCCTTAGCAACAGGGCCCTGGCCAGACCAGGGCTAGGAAGCCTGCAGTGTTCACTACCTGGCTGGCTCTCCCTCCCCCACAGCCCCATCCCGGCCTGGGCCTGGTTGCTAAGGAGGCTTTCTCCCTAGCAACCACACCTAGCCAGGCTCAGGACCCAAGGCCTCCTGCCCACCAGAGGACCCCCCTCCAGTCACCAGATGCTCCACCCCCTTGTGGCCTGGTTGCTAGGGGTGGATGTACCTTAGCAACAGGCCCTAGGTCTGGGCTGGAGTCCTCACATTGGAGCCTGGTTGCTAGGGGAGGTAACTGCCTTTCGACAGGCCTTTGGATGCCTGGTGGCTCCTTGAATCCACCTGAAACATGTCAGAGGGCCTGTCTCCTCAGTGCAGCTTGTTGCTAAGAAGGCTCAAGTACTGGGGTTTGCTGTTTGAGGAAAGCCCCCCACACTCTGTTAAAGTTGGTCTCCCCCTCCTGCAAGAGCTAGCAAGGCCTCATGAAGCTGGAGTCCTCCCTGCAGTCCACCTCCCCCTGCTCCCCAGACTTTTCCTTAGACCAAAAGCCTCGGACCGCCCAAGGTGCCACACCTTCGGCAAGGGGCCACATGGGTTCTGGACACCCTAAATTCCTCCATTGATAGATGAATTTTTTTTCTAGCCTTCTGGTAAATTCGAAAGCCTTCCTGTGGGTGCAGCTCTTCTTGCAGAGTTGAAAGCTTGCCCCTCAGTAGCCTGTGGTTGGTAAAACGGGCTGCTGTCCAGGGGGTGCAGGGCTGCCAGATAAAATACGGGAACCACTCCACCTCTCAGTGTGGGAACCTGGAGAGTTGGCTCCTGGACTTTCCTACCCCACCTGTAGTGTGTCACCTGCAATCTTGGCAGCCGGATTGCTTAGGCGGGTCTTGAACCAGCCCACATCGGGGGAGGGGCCTCTAGTATCATGGGGACACAGCTTGCGTGTTTTCTAGTACCAGATGAAGTTACCGTAGGGCCTTTCTGTGTTTCATCTCATTGAATTTTTGCAGCCTGGCAGAGGCTGGTTAAGGTCCCATTGTACACGCAGGGCAATGAGGGAGGTGAGTTGTCTAAGGTCACACACAGCTCAGATGTCACCTCAGCTCTGCCTGGCTTCTTGGCCACTATGCCTCCCTCAGGGGGAAAGGCATTTGGATGTCCGGGTGGGTGGCAGCCCCTGAGAAAGTGGCTCCCTCCCGCCCCCTTCTTCCACAGGGCGAGGTCGCGTGGATGTAGCAGGCCTGGTGGTGGGGCTGGCGTCCGGCATCCTGCTCATTGTGCTGGCCGGCCTGGGGGCCTTTTGGTATCTGCACTGGCATCGGGGCCAAGGCCAGCAGACCAGTCCGCAAGAGTAAGGGGACTTCATGGAGGAGAGGCTGGGGGTGGGGGGGCGGGGCTGGAGAGAATCATCAACCTAAGGAGATGGGCCCAGGATTGGGGGCAGGTGGGTGCTGATGAAAGGCCTGAGGAGACAGTCATGTGGAGGGTGAGTTTGTGAGAGTGTGTCTAGTCGTGGCATTTGCTTGTCTGTCTGCCTGGATCCTCCGTACCGGGCTCACAGCAGGAGCTCAGTCGGTATTTGCTGCCTGTCTTGGCAGTACCACGTTTCGGCGTGATTATCACTCTGTGAATATGGGATCTGGTGAGGCTGCAGCTGGTGACCTGTGTCTGTGGGTGTCTGTGGTATGTCAGTGTCCGTGGTAAAGGGCGTAGTGCGTGTTTGTGTGCGTCTGCACCAGTTGCCTGGGTGTGTCTCGGAGGCAGGGTCTAAGGAAGTACCTGAGTGCCAGTCTTGGAAGTATAGTGGATTGGGGGCCATTTAGGATTAAGAGTTTATTGGGAGTGGGTGTCTCTGTGTCTGTGTCTGTGTTGTGAGTGGTCCCCTGCCTCTCGGGAAGGCTGTCTTTTTCTCCATTACTCTGTTTGTTTTTGGAGTCCCTGTGGCTCTCTCTCAGCAGTTGTTGGTTTCTGGGTCTGCCTGTCCCTGAGCATCTACCTGTCATTTTGAGGTGCTCTGCTGCTTGTCAGATTGAAGGTGACCCTCCTTCTCCTTGGTCCATCTCCTTTCCACCTGTTCCCTACCACTCTTAGATTCTCTGTCTCCCTAAGTCCTCCCTTCTTCTCCCAAGTCTTTCTGTCTTGTAGGTTTCCCCTGTTAACTGTGCACCTTCTATCCCCAGGGCCGAGCTCATCAACCCTCTCAGTCCCCTGAGCTCTCCGGGCCCGCCAACGCCTCTGCCGCTACCCAAACCCCCAGGCCTCCCCACCTACGAACAGGCTTTAGCGGCCTCTGGGGTGCACGACGCACCTCCGCCCCCCTACTCCAGGTATGGGGCTGGGCTTCTGTCTGGGGGCGGGGCTCAGAGGGGAGTGCACGGCTGGAGGAGGGGCGTGGGACCAGGGGCGGGACTTGGAAATTTGAGCTTATTATTCCGGGCGAGGTTTGAGCAGGGGGGCGGGGCCTTGTGCAATTGCCTGGGGGCGTGGCCCAACGTTGTGAGTGTGGAGCCTTTGAGGAGGGTGGGTCTTGTGCTCAGAGGGCCTGGGATTGGCTAAGACACCCAGGGCGAGTCGGAGTGGTCTAGGTTGTGGGGGGGTGGAAAAAAGGGAAAAACAGCCGGGTCTTTGACTCCCCACTGTGCCCCTCCCCATGCAGCCTCCGGAGGCCTAGCTGAAGAGCTGCTTCGGAGCTGGGGTTCCCCGAACTGTGCCCCAGATTCACACCGGATTCCGGAAACCCTCAGGGCTCTTAAACTGCGGAGCTGAGCTTGGAGGGAGGTGGGGTGGGAGTAGGGGTCGTCCGTCCCGAGGCCTGCCCTGGCACACGTGTTTCCGCCGCGTACGGTTACACGCACGACCCCAACGAAAGTGTTCCCGCGTTCCGGCACCTCGCGGGCCCCCAGGCTCTCTTGACCTTGGGGGTACCCGCCAGCCCCGCCCTCTGGGTAGTCTTGCGGTGGAAACTGTGACCCAGGCGCGCAGGCCAAGTGTGCAGACTAGCGTGTGAGGTTTAACATGGCTATCTCTCGCCAGTGCCATGGGCCACACACGCAGAGTCCCGCCGGTGCACACGCATGTCTTCATGCTTGTACAGGGGCGCTTTGCAACCCAGGGAAAGGGTGGGGGATATATTTGCAACCGAGCTCATTGGGGACGGGCTCGCATTGCACTCGGGGGATTGAAGTTGAGCTCTTCCCTTAAATAAAAACCCTTTGGAAAAGAAATCATAAGAAGTGAAACAATGCAAAAAATAAACAGCTGTGACCCAAGGCGCGTCTGCGTGAAGTGGAGCTGGTTTTTCTGTACAAATGTTGCGCCCTACACCCCAGGCCCTGCTTGCGCTGTCGGTCTCTCCTTCTCCCTCTCTCTCTTTTTTTTTTTTTTTTTTTTTTTTGCATTTGCACGGGATTGTGGGAGGAAGCGGAGCACAGCCAGACACCCCGCCGCCCGCCCCCCTCCCCTCCCCTCCCCCCTCCCCCAGCCGCCTTGTGCAAAGATGGCTGCACCGTGAGCGCAGCGGAGGAGGAGGTGGCGGCGGTGGCGGCGAGAGAGCGAGCACCCAGCGCCCGCACCCACCCCGGGGCCGCCCGGGACGCCCCCTCCTGAGCGCGCGCTCCCCTCTTCTCACTTGCAAGCGCCGGGGCAAAGGCGGAGACAGCGGGGTCCCTCCTCCCCTCCTCTCCCTCAAGGGGGAACCCCCCTTCCCCCCTCCTTGGCTCGGCGACTGCACCCCCTCCCTTGCCTGCCCCTCCGCCCCTGTTCCCTCCCTCCCCCGCCCGGGGCCTTCCCGGGCCTTCGGCGGTAGCAAAGAAAAAAGAGAGAGAGAAGGGGGAAAAAAAACCAGCAGCGGAGGGAGCGGCGGCGGAGGAGAGCGCGCGCGCGCCCCCTCCTTCCCTCCCCCTCCCCCTCCCCCCAATTTCCACCGCGGCCAATTCATGGACAGGAACTACCCCAGCGCCGGCTTCGGGGACCCGCTCGGCGCCGGGGCGGGATGGAGTTACGAGAGGTCAGCGAAAGCTAGGTAAGGAGCCGAGGGTGGCCTGGAGGAAGGGTCTAAGGGGTGGGGGCCAAGCCGGCCCAGTCCGGCCGGGCCCGCCCGGCGACGCGTGCATCGCAAACTCCCCTCCGGCTTGCGAGGGAGCGGCCTTCCTCGGTTTACAACAACGCCGCCGCCCCAGTTTACAAATTGCAAACTCCGCCAAAGCTAGCTCCGGCATGCAAAGGGAGAGATGCAGCGGGAAAAGGGGGATGCAAAACAATTTCGAACGAAAAGGCCTTGGGAAGGTGGGAGGGACTGGTGAAGGAAGGCCTGGATTTCCCCCATCCTTGGATTCCCGGTTTGCTGACCCCTCCCCCCCGGGTCCCAGGCTCTATTCTTGCAAAGGTGGGAAGGAAAGGAGCATTAGAATGCAGACCTGGGGGGCGGGCCCCCCCTCCCAAGTCCCATTGTTCCGGAGCTGCGCGAGGCCGCGCCACTCGGGCCCCCCCGAAATTCCGCGCGCAGAGTGGGTACGGGGCCCCGCCCCCTTCCTAAACTGGGGTTCTGTGTGTGTAGCGGGGCAAGGGGGGAGCAGGGGGGGTTATCCTGGTATCTGAGACACACCCCCTTTAACTCCTCATCCCCAAAGGCAGAGAATTCTAGTTGATGGCGAAGAGTGGAGTGTTTGACCTCTTTGAGTCTGGGCTGTGGATTGGGGCCATTATTGCACGGGAGTTATTCGGGCGTGTGGTTGTGCGAGTGTGGATCCTGTCCGTGTGTAGCTGGCACTCTGTGTTGTGCCCTCACCCCTCCCCTGCTGCAAACCAACTCCCTCCCCCAACACACCTGGGTTTTCCAGCATGGCTGGGCATGACCACACGTGTGTTAGTTCCATGTGGGACCTTCGCTCTGTATCTTTCCTTCCCCACAGGTGAGTTGGATACTTTGGCACACATACTTGGCTTTGCATGGTCCCATGCATTTGCACCTCAACCCCAGGGGCTTCCTGTGTTCATGTTTGCAGTTCTGTCTGGTACTTCACTGTCCTTTCCTCATCCCACATCCCTGCTCTTTGGGGAACAATCTACCCCTGCTCCCGACTGGCTTTGCACCACTCCAGGAGGTTCAGGGCCTGCGTGTTCCCACGTGTCTGAAGAAGAGGGGGCGTCTAGGCACAGCTTTGGGTTGGGCCCCAGGGTCTGTGTCATCGGCTGGTTTGGAATCTGTGTGTGGCCCGAGGTCCACGTTTTCAAATTGAGCTACTTCCTCTGACTCTTCACTCTCTGTGAGAGCGTGTGTTTGTCTCATACCTGTGCGTGTTTCTGTGTTTGTAAACGTGAGTCTACATGGGCTCTATTTCCTGGAAGTCAGGGCCCTTTACTGCTGCTGGGGCTCGAGGGTTCATTTCTATGGTTCTTTGGCTGCCCCCCCCCCCCCCCCCCCCATTGCCTTGTTTTCTTTCCTTTAGGGCCTAAGTTTCCTTAGGATAATCCCCATTCAGCTGGAAGATTTCCCCCAACTCCCCAGGGGATTTGCTGGGTTTCCTTCTCCAAGGGCAGCTATGGAGGATACCCTAACATCTCCCCCTTCCCCCCAGCTTGGTCTATGGCAGCTCCAGGACCTCGCACCCCGAGACGGACATCTTACACCGCCAGGCCTACGCAGCCCCCCACCCACTGCAAAGCTATGCCACCAACCATCACCCTGCAGGTACGGCCCCCATCCCGCCCAGCCTGGGCTGCCCCTCCCCCTGAGGTAGCTGATTGGCTGGTGTAAGTTCCACCCCTCCTAATTGGCCTTGCCTTGCCTCCTGGGCCGCCCCTTGCTCTCCTTCCTCTCATTGGTTGATAAGAGGCTGCTTAATTTTACACCGGATTCGTCCGCCTTTGCCTGTGGCCCCGCCTTTTTCGTTCCAATTGGCCTCATCCCCAGAGCCCCCAAATCCCACCTTCTCTTCCAGGCTTTTCCCCTTCTCCAGCGCACCCATTCACTTCCCTCTGGGTTTGCCCTTTTTTTTGGCTCCTTGGTTCTCTGAATTTATTTTTTAATTTGTTGATTTTAGAGAGTAAGGGGGAGAGTGAGAAACATCAATTTGTTGTTCTATTTACTTATGCATTCTTTGGTTGATTCTTGTATGTGCCCTGATTGGGGATCGAACCTTAACCTTGGCATATGGGGCGGGGGAGGTGCACTCCAACCAACTGAGCTGTCTGGCCAGGGCCTGATTATCCGAATTCTTTTTTTTCTGATTCCAATTCTTCCTGATTGGCTGATTCTTTGGACCTCCCCCTTTTTCCTTAGGTTTGCCTACTCCCTTATTCTGCCCCAGTACCTCTCTGCCTGTAAGGCTTCTGATTGGCTCCCTTTTGATCCAATGGCCTGTCTTGCTTGGTGAACTAGCCATGAGAATGTGTAGTCCAGTTTGATCCTTGTCTCTCCTGGTTGGTTCCTTTTTTTATCCCCCCCCCCCGCCCCTTTTTTTCCTCGATCTTCTCATTTTGATTCAGCCTATTTCTACTTGTCCTCTAGTTCTTTCCTGTGGTCCCAGTCATCTCATCCCTTACCCTTGTTGGAATTGCTCACTTTTGCCTCACACCCTACCCTTATCTCCTTGTTTCTTTCACTTCTGGATTTTTCTATCCCTTTGTCTACTTTTCTTTTCCTGGGCCCCCTGCCCTTAAGATTTCATTGTACCCCATTTCATTGCACCCCATCCTGCCTACTGTCTTCATAGAAGACTCCCCTTTACTTCCCTCCAGTCCTTTTCTCTGACCTAGCTTGCTCTTGGCTTCTTCCCTTTCAACCAGACCCTAGCCCCTACTTAGCTGACGCTACCCCCTGTTTCTGGCCAGGCCTCTCTGGACTCTTCGACACTGGCCTTCACCACGCGGGCTCAGCAGGGCCCGACGCCTCCGTCATGAACCTCATCTCGGCCCTGGAGTCCCGGGGCCCCCAGCCAGGCCCCTCTGCCTCCTCTCTCCTCTCCCAGTTCCGCAGTCCCTCCTGGCAAACAGGTAAGTCCACTGCCAACTCGCGAGGGCCAGGGTGGGGCTGGCTCGCGGTCCACCCTGACCTACGGTCTCCTCCATCATTCCCAGCCATGCATACGCCAGGCCCCACGGAGCTCTTCATCTCAGGCGCCCTGCCGGGTTCCAGCACCTTTCCATCCTCCTCTGCCCTGTCGGCCTACCAGCACCCGGCTTCCTTCGGCAGCCGCCCCTTCCCAGTGCCCTCATCCCTCAGCCTCCAGGACCCCCCATTCAGCCCCCCAGCTAATGGGCTCCTGTCCCCTCATGATGTGCTGCACCTGAAGCCCTCGCAGGCACCCACGGTGCCCTCCTCGCTAGGCTTTGAGCGCCTGGCGGGGGGTGGTGTCCTGGGGCCCGCTGGGCTTGGCCCGGCCCAGACTCCCCCTTACCGTCCTGGTCCCCCAGACCCACCTCCACCTCCCCGGCACCTCCCAACTCAGTTCAACCTGCTGGCTTCTTCTTCCGCTGCCGCCGCCGCCGCTGAGCAGTCCTCCCCACAGCTCTACAACTTTTCGGGTGCTGCGCCAGGCCCACCGCCACCCGAGCGGGCGCTGCCCCGCCAGGACACTGTCATCAAGCACTACCAGCGGCCAGCCAGTTCCCAGCCCCCACCACCCCCACCACCAGCCCACGCCCTCCAGCACTACCTGAGCTGTGGCGGCAGCTATCCCTCCATGGGCCATCGGGCCAACCTGGCCTGCAGCCCCCTGGGTGGTGGGGAGCCCTCCCCAGGTGCTGGTGAGCCTAGCAAGGCTGGGCCCAGTGGAGCCACGGCCGGGGCATCAGGCCGGGCTGCGGGCCCCGAGGCAACCGGAGGAGGTGGGGCCGGGGGTGGTGGCGGAGGTTACCGCCCCATTATTCAGTCACCCGGTTACAAGACAGGCAAAGGTGGTTATGGGGCAGCTGCTGGGGGCGCCAACAGACCCCCGCCACCTCGTTCAACTGCCACACCCAAATGCCAGAGCCTGGGGGGGGCGGCTGCGGCCTATGCCACTGGGAAGGCCTCTGGGGCTGGCGGGGCGGGAGGCCAGGCCTATTCTCCTGGTCAGCCCCAGGGGCTTCTAGGACCCCAAGCCTACGGGCAAGGTTTCGGAGGGGGTCAAGCACAGGACTTGAGCAAAGGCCCTAGCTACTCAGGAGGGCCTCCGCAGCCCCCCAGCGGCCCCCCGCCTCCTGGTCTAGCCACGTGTCAGAGCTATTCGCCTGACCAGCTACAGGGGCAGCTGTATGGGGTGCAGGGCGAGCCGTACCCAGGGCCAGCTGCCCACTCCCAGGGGCTGCCCACGGCCAGTCCATCACTCAGCTATAGTACTGGCCATTCACCAGCACTCTCGGGCCACGGAGGGGGCTGGGGTCCCAGCTCCTTGGGTGGCGGCGGAGAGGCCAGCCCTTCTCATATCATCCGCCCGCTGCAGTCACCGCCTGCCCCCGGTCGCCCGGCGGGAGTCAGCTCTCCAGGAGCCCCTGGCAAATACCTGAGTTCTGTCCTGGCCTCAGCCCCGTTCCTGGCGCCCCCGGGAGCCAGCAGCTATGCAGCTGGAGCAGGTGGCTACAAAGGCAAGGGAGATGGCTCAGAGCTGCTAGCAGGCCCCGGGGGGCCTCCTGCTGAGCGCACGGAGGACGAGGAGTTCCTCATCCAGCACCTCCTACAGGCGCCCAGCCCCCCAAGGACCTCAGGGGCCGATGGCTTGGTGGGCGAAGATGGGGCAGCAGATGCCTCCAAAGGACTTGGAGGGAGTGGCGGGGCCGGGGGTCCCCCGGGCACACCCTATGAGCTGGCCAAGGAAGATCCCCAGAGGTACCACCTGCAGAGTGTCATCCGCACCAGCGCCAGCCTTGACGAGGGTGCCACGGCGGCCCTGGAGCTAGGCCTGGGGAGGCTGAAGGAGAAGAAGAAAGGGCCAGAACGGGGTGGCGAGACCCCCGAGGGGCTGGCCACCTCCGTCGTCCATTACGGGGCAGCTGCCAAGGAGCTGGGGGCCTTTCTCCAAAAGAGCCCGCCACCCCCACCTCCGTCGGCCCAGCCTGCCCAGCCCACACCCCACGGCCTCCTCCTGGAGGCCGGGGGTCCTGACCTCCCACTGGTGCTGCCTCCTCCACCTCCGCAGCTGCTTCCCTCAGTCCTCAGCCACACCCCCAGCCCCTCTTCCAGCAACCCCAAAGTCGGCGTCCATCTCCTTGAGCCAGCCACCCGTGATGGGGCGCCCCAGGCTCCGCCGCCGCCCCCACCTCCACCGCCTATGCCTCTCCAGCTCGAGGCTCATCTCCGCAGCCATGGGCTAGAGCCCGGTGCGCCCAGTCCTCGCCTGCGACCAGAAGAGGGCCTGGAGCCGCCGGGTGCCATGCAGGAATTGCTTGGGGCTCTGGAACCGCTGCCTCCGGGGCCTGGTGACACTGGCGTGGGCCCACCCAACACCGAGGGCAAGGACCCCTCGGGGGCCTACCGCAGCCCCAGTCCACAGGGCACCAAGGCCCCCCGCTTTGTGCCACTCACCTCCATCTGCTTCCCCGACTCCTTGCTCCAAGACGAGGAGCGCAGCTTCTTCCCCACCATGGAGGAGATGTTCGGCGGAGGGGCAGCAGACGACTATGGCAAGGCCGGGCCACCTGAGGACGAAGGTGATCCCAAGGCGGGCGCTGGGCCCCCGCCCGGACCCCCTGCCTATGATCCTTACGGGCCCTACTGTCCCAGTCGAGCGTCTGGAGCAGGGCCCGAGACACCGGGCCTGGGCCTGGACCCCAACAAGCCACCTGAGCTGCCCTCCACGGTCAACGCGGAGCCTCTGGGCTTGATCCAGAGTGGGCCGCACCAGGCAGCCCCGCCGCCCCCTCCGCCTCCACCACCACCTGCCTCAGAGCCCAAGGGAGGCCTGACCTCGCCCATCTTCTGCTCTACCAAGCCAAAGAAGCTGCTCAAGACGTCCTCATTCCACCTGCTCCGGCGCCGCGACCCTCCCTTCCAGACGCCCAAGAAGCTGTATGCCCAGGAGTACGAGTTCGAGGCGGACGAGGACAAGGCCGATGTGCCTGCGGACATCCGTCTCAACCCCCGGCGTCTGCCTGACCTGGTGTCCAGCTGCCGATCCCGCCCGGCCCTCTCCCCGCTGGGTGACATCGACTTTTGTCCACCCAACCCTGGCCCTGATGGCCCCCGTCGCCGTGGCCGCAAGCCCACCAAGGCCAAGCGCGATGGCCCACCTCGACCCCGGGGCAGGCCACGGATCCGCCCACTGGAGGTCACCACCACCACTGGGCCAGCCTCGACTTCCACACCCACCGATGGGGCCAAGAAACCCCGGGGTCGGGGTCGTGGCCGGGGCAGGAAGGCTGAGGAAGCAGGGGGCACCCGGCTGGAGCCCCTGAAGCCACTTAAGGTGAGGGTGAGTGGGTCCCCACTACCTGACTTAGAGAAAGGGAAGTTTGGGAAAGCACATTTGAGGTCTTAGGATGTGATTCATATTCCTAAAACCCACGAGGAAATGGATCTGAGGGCCTGTGTCAGGGTTCCTTCATTGGGGAGCTCTGAGTATGGAGACTTGGATTCAGCAGGGAGGCGGAGTTTTGGTTCTTATCAGTCGGGGATCCTAGATTCTTGGGTTTTGGTATTTGGAAGGTCTGGAGCCCTGGGCTGGACTGGGCAGGGAGAGGTCAAGTGGGCAAGTGGGAGGGAATTGAACCCTAGCATTCAGGGATCAGTGAAAGGGTGTGTGTGGCTGAATTCCAGCGTTCTATTGGCTGAGAACCTGGGGGTTTAAACTTCAGGGACTCGGGCCTGAGGATGGAGGGGACTTGGGCCCTGACTCCCCACTGCTCCTGTGTCCAGATCAAGCTGCCTGTGCCCAAGGCTGGTGAGGGTCTGGGAGCCTCATCAGGAGACGTCATAGCAGGCACTGACCACAATAACCTGGACTCAAGCCTGACTCGGGAGAAGATTGAGGCCAAGATCAAGGAGGTAGAGGAGAAGCAGCCAGAGATGAAGTCTGGCTTCATGGCCTCCTTCCTGGACTTCCTCAAGTCAGGCAAGCGCCACCCACCACTCTACCAGGCGGGCATGACACCTCCGCTCAGCCCCCCCAAGAGCGTGCAGGCCTCTGTGCCCCCCCGAGGCCTGCAGCCCCAGCCCCCCACGGCCCCCACTGTGCCACACCCCCCACCCGCTGGCGCTTTTGGGTTGGGGGGTGCTCTCGAGGCCGCTGAGAGCGAGGGGCTGGGGCTGGGCTGCCCTTCGCCTTGCAAGCGGCTGGACGAAGAGCTGAAACGGAACCTCGAGACACTGCCCTCCTTCTCCTCGGATGAGGAAGACTCTGTCGCCAAGAACCGGGACCTGCAGGAGAGCATTTCCTCGGCCATCTCTGCCCTCGATGACCCTCCCCTCGCCGGGCCCAAGGACACCACCCCCCCGGAGGGGCCTCCCTTGGCTCCAGAGGCTGCGGTCCCGGGGCCGCCCCCCCTCCCAGGGCTCCCCAGTGCCAGCAGCGGTGGCACACCTGGTGAGCTCTAGGAAGATGGTCCGGGGGCGGCACAGGGGGTTCCTGTGGTTTGGGACAGTGGAGACGGTTGTGCAGATTACAAACTGTTCCAGGGACGCTGTTAGTTGATGTAGATTGGCAACCTTCTGATGAGCAAACATGTTTTGAGAAGGGTATTTTTTCGCTAAGCCCATGTGCTTTTCTTAGCGCACACGTGCCAAGTGGACTAGCGGGGGTCCCCAGGTGGGTGCAAGAGAGCTCAGGGTGTGGGGCAGGTTATAAGTTCTGGGGACAGCCTGGCAGTGGGGTACTCGGGAAGCTTTTAAAACTGGCCGGGGATTGCAGGGCCTGGGAAAGGTTCTGGGGTTAGTGGTGCGAGATGAAGGACAGAAGGCAGAGGGGGACTTGGGGAGGGTCGTTTCATAAGAGAGAGGGATGCTGACTAGTCAGGTCTTGTGGGCGGAAGTAGGGAAAGCCTGAGAGCGTGGTTGGGTCCGGGTGGTAGGGTTCTGTTCTGAGAAAGGCTTCGGGCAGAATTTAAGGGCCTTTGATGAGAGGAGCAGAGGTATTGGGGGTTTGGGAGAGGGCATTCTGGGCAGTTAATGAGGGGGCTTGAGGGCTCACAGGGATGTTACCAGAGCCTAGGGGGAATCGGCATAAAGAAGCAGTGGTTATTCCCGGGGATGGAGAGGGGCGGAGGGGCGGGGCTTCTGAGGAGGTAGAGGCCTGGAGGGAAGGATTGCAGAATTGGCAAGAACAGGGAGGGACTGGGATTAGAGCCAATAGATGTTTGGGATTAGGCTGGCCAGTAGGGTGAGGGGCAGGTTCCAGGAGTTCAGCATAGCGCCTGAGCTGAGAAGGGGCCTCAGGGAGGGGCTCTGGCATGGCCGAGGGCTGTGGGGGCCTGAGTGCCCCTAAGGGGCGGAGGTGTTCTCCAAGGAAAGGACAGGGGGATTCAGAGATAAGAGGAAGAGGTTCTGGGATTGGCGTTCGGGAACTTGGAGGTATGTCAGGGACTTAGGCTTGGGGCAGGGGAGAGATGACGGGTGTTGAGTTGAGGGGGTAGATACTGAGCTATGGTATGGGGACCTAGGACTACTCTAAGAGACAGTGGGTCTTTGGAGGCTGGGAAAGATAGCGACGAACAGTGTGGGTAAAAAGAACAGGACGCTGGAGAGAAGTTAGAGGCACCTGGGCTTCCTGTGGGTGTCTGGGGACAGGTGGGTATAGAAGGTCAGGGAGGGGACAGGATGGGACAGGTGAGCAGGTCAGGCAGGATCTGTGAAGGAGGGGCAAGAGCAACAGACTAAGTGGAGATGCGGGGTGGAAGGCACAGATAGGTAGTAGCTGACGAACTCCTTTTCATCAGGAGGGGTGTTGGGGGTGCAGGGCGGGATGGCTTGGCGCCCCCCCCAGAGGAACCTAGAAAAGGGCTGGGAGCACCTTTCCCGGACAGAAAAGTGGAGACTTGAGGGACAAGCCCGGGATGTTGACGGGCAGCAGATTGAAGCTCCAGTGGGGAGGGTGCAGGGGATCCAGCCCTGATGGACCTTCTCGTCCCCCAGAGCCCCCGCTGTTGGAGGAGAAACCCCCACCCTCTCCGCCACCTGCCCCATCGCCCCAGCCGCCACCCCCACCACCAGCTCTGCCCTCGCCACCCCCTTTGGTGGCCCCAGCCCCTGCGCCCAGCTCGCCACCTCCGCCGCCTCCACCAGCCCTGCCTTCGCCACCCGCCCCTCCGCCCCCGCCAGCTGCTGCCCCACCAGAGGAGCCCGCTGCCCCTTCCCCCGAAGACCCCGAGCCGCCCGACGCCCGGCCCCTGCACTTGGCCAAGAAGCAGGAGACGGCGGCCGTGTGTGGGGAGACAGACGAGGAAGCCGGTGAGAGCGGCGGTGAAGGCATCTTCCGCGAGCGGGACGAGTTTGTCATCCGCGCTGAGGATATACCTTCCCTCAAGGTGAGTCCCCAGCGGGCGTATGACTCAGCCCAATGGATTTGGCCACTGGCGTGTTCATTGAGCACCTGGTGGACACCGGCTGAGGGCCGCAGGTGTAGCAGTGGCCGAGACAGCCCCGTGGGGCCCTTCCGCGTTCGCGGTCTATCCAGGCGGACAGTGGCCAGCTGGGAGCGCGGGGCCTCTGCGGAGATGGTACTTGGTGTATGTTACCTATAACTAAGATAAGACGATTATTAACTGTTTGTTGCCGTTATCCTGACTGCTGGGGTTACGATAAGGACCATGGCAGGTGAGGGTCTGGTCTTCCGGATCCCCTAATTTCATAGTGCTTTGAAAGAGAGAGCCAAGAGACCGCTTTGTGACTTGCACAGTAAGGGTGAAGGCCTCAGGCGTTGCAATGGCACAGCTGTGAATACACGCCCCACCCACTTTGGATGTAACAGCCAATGAGTCGAGGATAGTTATGTGTCAGGCGGCTCGAGACATTTCATGCCGACCAGCGCATTCGCTACTTCCAGTTCCTCCACACCAGCCGACTTTAGTCTGCAAGGGCCAGATGCAGCCTATGTCCTGTTTCTCATAAAGTTTTATCAGCACGTAGCCACGCCTACCCTTTGCATATCACGCCCATCCTTTACGTATCACGTAGGGCCCCGACAGTGTCGGGGGGCAGTGGCGGAGTCTGGCGGTTTCAGTTCACCCTTGCTGGGCTGCAGAGCCAAAAACGTTAGCTGCGCGCCGCGTTCCAGGACGTTGGCTGGCCTCTGCTGCGCTTGGTTTCTTGGACAGGTAGACTTAGATCAAAGGATTCATGTAAGTGCTTGTCAAGGGTAGGTGACGTCAGAGACCCTGGTAGTGCTTCCCACCGACACCACGTACTGCGACACCGCACCACGTACGGCGACACCACGTAGGGCGACTTGGGTGTGTCTCCCTCGGCGGCCAGCCCTCCTGCGCCTCCTGCAGTCGTCACACTCCTTCCCACCTGCCGGTTGCGCCTTACGTCATTGGACCCTCGCCCCTCTGAGGCTGATTCATTATTGGCCAGTCAGCCTGGGATGGGCGGGGAAGATGGTGAACAATCACCAATGGTGAGAAGGGCACAGGCTTTGGGACTCCTCCGGTTGCAATTTAGTTTGATCTCCCCCATCCCTGTCCCCGAATGGTGTAGACCTACCTGTGTGCGCCACGAAGTCGATCTTTTTCGCCATTTCTCAGTGTACTGTGCGGTAGCATTAAGTACCATATTGTGCTGTGTATAATGAGCTCCCGTGTATAATGCACACACATTGTTTTGTGCATGTTAAACATGGGATTATTGTACTCGTATCTAATCCTTGTTTTTCCCTTAAAAATTTGGACAAAATGCGCGTTATACGCAGCAAAATACAATCTGTTTGCATCGTTGTGCAAAACTGCCCTCAAGTTTTATGTTTGTAATCGCCTTCCCATACAGGGATTACTGTCCCCATTGTACATGGAAGGAGATTGAGCCTCAGGTTTTGGGACCCGTCCTAAAGGCTACTTCAGGACAGTCAAGTAGCCTTCCCAGGGTGTCGTGGTTGGGACCTGGAAACTCATGCTGTCGTCACCAGATTCAGCCATTTTCTGTGTAATTCTGTCAAGCACTGACGGTGACAGCAGCCAGGCATCTAGCGCGGGCTCTGGGGCAGGGACGGTCCCGCCCACTTTTCAGATGAAGTTCACGATCAGAGAGAGGGAATCATTCCGCTGGCGAGTGCCGAGCAAGCACTGAAGCCAGGGCCATCTGATACCACCTCCCCGGTGGCATAGGGGAGGGGCCCGGGCAAAGACTCAGATGCTTAAAATACAACACGAGTGTGAGTTATGGGGTGGGGGGGGCCACAGTCCCAGGACTGAGCCACCATCCCATGTTGGGGACACGTGCGTGTGCCTGAAGTGAGGGTATGCTGGCGGAGGGGCTGTGGAGGGGCCAGCTTTGGCCTCAGTCTGCCTGGCGGGAGTCTCTGCCACTTCCAGTTGTGTGCGGCTAAAGCGGGCACAGTCTCTGCCACTTCTGAGGTAGACTAGTGTTGAACCTGCCTGTGCCTCAGTTTCCTCATCTGTACAATGGGGGCTGACCATGCAGTGTGAGGACTTGGATGTCATGGCTTGTCCTGTGCTCTGACCATGGCTGGCACACTGAGGTGTCCTATAAGCTTTAATTCCGTTACTTACCTTGGTGATCTTGGCCAAGATTACTTACCTCTGGTGCAAAATGTGGCCCAAGTTTTTCTGGTGACCAGATAGCAAATATTTTTGGCTTTGCAGACCACTTATGGCTTTCTGTCACATATTCTTTCTTTATTTTTAATTTTTTTTAAGATATTACTTATTTTTAGAGAGCAGAAGGGAGGGAGAGAAACATCCATTAGTTGCCTTTCACACACCCACAACTGGGGACCTGGCCTGCCACCCAGGCATGTGTCCTGACTGAGAATCAAACCAGCAACCTTCTGATTCACAGGCTGGCACTCAGTCCACTGAGCCACACCAGCCAGGGCTGTCTCGTGTTCTTTACTTTTTCTTTTGTACAGTATTTTTGCAACCTTCACCCGAGTACATTTTTTCCATTGCTTTTAGAGAGAGAAGGGGAAGAGAGATTGAGGGAGGGAAGGAGAAGGAGAGAGAGAAACATCCACATGATAGAGAAACAATTGGTTGCCTTCTCATATGTGCCCGACCAGGGATCAAACCCATGACCTTGCGTTCTAGGAAATGATGCTCTAACCAGTTGAGCCACACCAGCCAGGGTTACAATTCTTTAAAAAACGTAGAAACCATTCTCAGCTTTTAGACCTATAAAAATGGGCCACGGGCCATAGTTCTTTCCTAGAACAGTAAGTCCAATAGAAATATCATGAGTCACATACATCTTGGAAGCATTCTTGGATCCACATTTTTAAAAGTTCAAAGATGGATGAGATTAGCCACAGGAATGTATTTTCTTTAACCCGGAATACCTAAAATAGCATTTCAGCATGTAATTAATATAGAAAAGTTTGATGGGGTTTTTTTTTTATTATACCAAGTCTCTGAAGCCCAATGTGCATTTTACACCCATAGAACATTCTGATCAGTTGTATTTCAAGTGCTCGAGAGCCACATGTGGGGAGGGTCTTGAGTGGGAGAGTGCGGGGTTAGCTTCCTCTCTGCTTTCTCTGTAACGTGGCCACGGTCATATGAACTCTCAGTTCTCGAGGGTGTTGAAGAATTGGCAAGATGTAAACTCTGAGCATGCAAGCGTTTGTTGGACAGAGAAAAGTGTGGGCAGGGCAGTTTAGCCGAAGAGAACAGTCTGTGCAAAGGCCCTGTGGTGATGGAAAGCATAAAGTGCTTGTGTAGCACAAGGAAGCAAGAAGTTTAGTGGCCGGACAGTGAGCACGGGGGCTGGGATTGGTGGGAGAATCTGCTCTGGGTTGCCCAGGCTCTGCCAGGGCCTCTGGTCTGCAGGGAGGTGGCTGGGGAGGTGTCCAGTTCTGATGACAGTCTGCGGCATCAGCTCTGTGACAGCAACTCTCCTGTTAATAGGCCCCACAGTTTTCTCTTTCACACCAGGCTCATAGCTTGTAGCTAACTCACTTCCTGCTGCTTACCGCCCTTGTCCTGACGTGTCACAGTTCAAATTCCCAGAAAAGAATCTGATTGGTCCAGGTCAGCATTTGGGGGCTGTGGGTGGGGCAACTTCCCCAGTAAGTGGAAGTGGGTGTGGTTGGTGATCTGGTTGACAGGAGGAGGCTGGAGGGACCTGGCTTTGGGACTCACTGACACTGGTGGAGGAGCTGGCAAAGATGATTGACAGGCGACGGGGTCCAAGGACTGGGTGGTGCGGCGGGGATCCTGGGAGGAGAAGTGGTCTGGGGGAAGACGCCAAGTTCAACTGGGATGTGGTGCGCCCAAGGACTGGAGTCCAGCTAAAGAATCAGCTGGCTGCCAGAGAAGGCAGATAGGTGGTGGGAAGAGACAGGAGGGAGTGGGTTGCACTGATGGATTTTTCAAAGGCTTCTGAGAACTCAAACAGGGCACATCGTGGTCACATTGAGAGGGAACAGGGAACTCTGGTGTGGGACCCTGCATGTGCAAAAAAAACCTGGAGTTCAGAAAGTCTGGGGCTTGTCTGCCGAGCTTTGAGGGACGGGTGAAGGGAGAGGCAGCTGAGGCTTCTGTGTGCCGGCCTACGGGGTCTGCATTGGAGGCCCTGAAAGGGTTTGGAGCAGGGCATGAGGTAGATGGACTTTTCAGTCTTTGGGCCTCTGGCCTGGCTCCCTGAGGAGCCAGGAGGGAGGACTGAGAACCCTGATGTCTTGGAGGAAAGCACTTCAGGTTGGGGCGCCTACATACCTGTCCCATCCTGCCTCACTCCTGTATGAGACTCCGGCAAGAGCCTTCCTGACCTCATTTTCAACAGGTTATGGTAAACCTTTCTTTGTGTTCCCCTGACTCATCTGAGGGACATGAAAAATTGTGGATGTGAAAGCAGTTGACCTCAAACCCAGAGTAGATAGCCAATACCTGGCACGCGGTTTGAAGCGCTGCAGGTGCTGCTAGCGGCAGACATTATTAATGGATCCCAGCACTGGTTCGTGCTGGGGCTCAGGGCAGCCATGATCAATCAATTGGAGTTGCTGCCTGAATCCTATTGTATCACTTGACTGTGGAGTCTTCCAATGCAGGGACGGGCCCCTGTTCATCTCTGGGTTATCACAGTATTCAGCGCATGTTTCCTGCTTTGTGCTTACTCTTAACTTACCTGTACCTGTTGCGGCTCTTTTCTAGAGCCACAAATGTCACACACCTCCCTGGCAGTCCCTGGTCATCACCCAGGCCCCTCAGGGAAGGACACATGTCCTTCCATGGACTCATTTAGGTGCCACCTCTTCCAGGCAGCATTCTCAGACTCAGATTGAGTTCAGGGTCTTTCTTCTAGGCTTCAGAGGCACCCCCCATTAACACGTTTATTACACGTACTGTTGTTTTGTGAGTGTGTACGCCGGTGTCCCCTGCTGCCCGGCCCCACTCCCCGGGATCCGATGCTGGGTCGGACACGCACCTGTCGGTTTCGGTGGGCGAGGGTCTGAGGGTGTCTGGGGATGACGATGGGAGACGGTCTCAGGTGCCCTGGTACCTGCCTGTGTTTGGCCTGAGCCCTTCCCCTGCTCATTGGCATGTCTGTCTTGCCCCCTCGTTAAGGAATACCCCATGAAAGGCTTTGTTTGTCGATCTCACGCACTTCTGTACGCCAGGGCCCGTCATGGCGTCTGAAAAGTGGTGGCTGGGTGCTCGGGTTTTGTCATTACACGGAGCCACGTGGGGGGCTTGGCCCGTCACACACTGCAGGGCCATTGTGACGGAAGCCTTGTGGCCCAAGAATGCAGGGCTGGGTAGGGAGTACGGGGACAGGGCCACACTGCAGCCAGGTCTTCGGGGCTGAGAATGTCACAAGGCCAAAAGATATCTTTGTCTGTTGATTTTTTTTTCTCTTTAAGATTTTATTTATTTATTTATTAGGCTTCCTTTTTTTTTTAGAGATTTTATTTATTTATCTTGAGAGGGGAAGGGAAGGAGAGAAGGAAAGAAATATCAATGTATGGTTGCTTCTCATGCGTCCCCCGCTGGGAACTGGCCTGCAACCCAGGCACGTGCCCTGACTGGGAAATGAACCGCAGTTGTTTGGTTTGCAGGCCTGCTCTCAATCCACTGAGCTACACCAGCCAGAGCTATTTACTTTTTAGGAAGGGGAAGGGAGGGAGAGCAACATCAGTACGTGGTTGCCTCTTGTGCATCCCCTACCTCAGACCCGGCCTGCACCCCAGGCATGTGCCCTGACTAGGAATCGAACCCATGACCCTTTGGTTCACAGGCTGGCACTCAATTCACTGAGCCACACCAGCCATGGTGGGTGTTTGTTGATTGCTTTTTTGACCACGATGCCTCTTCTCTAAGGAAGGGGGTATTGAGGGAGGTCAGAGGAGCAGGAATTGGGAGCACGGTGTAGGAATGGGGGCTGACCCATCCAGCCTTCCTGTGCCCTCCCCCCCTCAGCTGGCGTTGCAGACCGGCCGCGAGCCCCCACCCATCTGGCGCGTCCAGAAGGCCCTGCTGCAGAAATTCACCCCGGAGATCAAGGACGGGCAGCGGCAGTTCTGCGCCACCAGTAATGTAAGCCTGCGGAGGGCAGGGAGGACTTGGCGCCCCGGCGGGAGGGGACAGGGGGACGGGAGGAGGTGTCTGGCTGCCGTGGCGGCCCAGGGCCTCCTGGGAATGTTGGGCATCAGGCTGCCCAGTGGGGTGGGTGAAGGAATCTCCGTTGTGCCTCTTTCCCTCCACAGTATTTGGGCTATTTTGGGGACGCGAAAAACCGGTACCAGCGCCTCTATGTGAAGTTTCTGGAAAACGTCAACAAGAAGGATTACGTGAGGGTCTGTGCTCGGAAACCCTGGCACCGGCCCCCAGCACCCGTCAGGTACCGTGTGGGGCCTGGGGGACAGGTGACGATGGGCAGGGCGGACGGGCAAGGGGATGGAACGTGCAAGAGAAGAAACAGAGTCGGGGGTGGGGGGTGGGGTACAGAGACCCAGAGAGGGGAAACAGCGGGTCATCTGTTTCCTTCCTGGCGGGGGTGGGGGGGGGGGGAGATGGGTCTTCTACGCTCACAGCTGTGGGCCAGGCAGGGGGATCCCAAAAAGCAGAGTTGGGGTTTCTTAGGTTTCTGCTGACCTCAGTCCTTCTATGTTTCCTTCCAGGCGCTCAGGGCAGGCCAAGGGCCCCCCCTCTGCTGGGGGCACCTCTGCACCTACGCCCAAGGCCTCCGCACCGCCTCCCAAGCCCGAGACCCCTGACAAGGCACCATCTGAGAAGCCCCCAGAGCAGATGCCCGAGGCAGCCGTGCCTGAGCCCCCTGCCCCTGAGAAGCCGTCCCCACCTCGGCCTGTGGAGAAGGAGAAAGAGAAGGAGAAGGAGCGGGTGACACGCGGGGAGCGGCCCCTGCGTGGGGAGCGGGGCGCCGGCGGGCGGCAGACGCGGCCAGAGCGGAGCCTCGCCGCCGGGCAGCCCGCCACCTCCCGGCTGCCCAAGGCCCGGCCCACCAAGGTGAAGGCTGAGCCGCCCCCCAAGAAGAGGAAGAAGTGGCTGAAGGAGGTGGCGGGCAACGCTGCGGCGAGCGGGGGCCCACCGGGCAGCTCCTCTGACTCCGAGTCGTCCCCTGGAGCGCCCAGCGAGGATGGTGAGGCCCTGGGCAGCCACGAGGCTGGTGGGGAGGCTTAGGGAGGGGACTCTGGAGCCTTCAGAAGAAGCCACAGGTCAGGGCTGTCCCGGAGCGTCCAGGGAGCGTCGACAGGAAAGTCTCAGTAGTGAGTACGTTAAAAATAGTGGCAATGGCTACCCACCATGTAGCACTTACCGACACAGTAGGCGGTCTTCTAAATTCTTTGTGGAGTGATTTGGGTAGTTTTCATAGTGCTCTGATCCTCATATACAGATGGGGAAATTTATGCAGATTTAAAACATAGGATTCATTGGCTCTTAGCGTCGTAGAGTTACTCATCTTGGCAGCCAATTATAGAGCGTTGACATCACCCCAGAAAGAGACCCTGCGCGCTCTGGCCATTATGCCCCGTCCCTCCCTCCAGCCCTAAGCAACCGGTAACATACCTTCGCTGTAGATGTGCCTCTTCTGGAAACTGCATGTAAGTGGAATCGTACCATACATAGCCTTTTGTGGCTGGCTTTCATTTAACATGCTATTTCTGACGTTCACCCATTGTTGGTGTTTTATTCCTTCTTATGGCGGAATAATCCCCCATGGTACGGATCTGCCACGTTCTGTTTGTCCATGCACCCGCTGACAGACGTTTGCGTTGTTGGGAGTAGTTGGCTGGTGTTGTGGTGAACGGACCTGGCCAGCCCAAGTTTTTGGAGCCTGGGAAATGGGGAGGAAGTGAACTCTGTACCCTTAAGGGAACAGTCCCCCTTCCAAGGCTCAGTCGGTGTCCTTCTCTGGGTCTGGGTCTCTCTCTCTCCTCACCTCATTCGACCGGGGCCCCTCTCTGGGGAGGATGAGCCTGACCCGCATCTGGAGACCCTGAAGCTCTTGCCCAGCCCAGCGAGGAGGCCTCAGAACCAACTGGCTTCCTTGCTCAGGACCAGCTACCCTCCTGTGTCCTAGAGGCTGATGCTCCCTTCTTTGTATTCCCAGTGGAAAGCTCTAGAAAGAGGCTGCAAAGAGGAGAGGCTCTCTCCTCTTTCTTTAGTGCACTCCCCTCCAGCTTCCTCAGCGCCTTGCTACAGGTGTTTATTGAGCACCTACTGTGTGCCGCAACTGCCATTCCAGCTGTGAGCAGAATAGACAAAAATACGTGTCCTCCTGGCTGCTCATAGTCTGGCCGGGGGTGACTCAGATAAATGCGTTGTGGAATAGAATACCACACAGTATGAAAAATCATCGCTGTGAGGCAGGGGAGGATTAAAGGCAGTGACCAGAAGTCAATCTGGGAAAGAGGATCCAGGCGGCAGCCTGGGTGATACTTTTGGGAAAGGGCGAGAGAGGCGCGGAAGGGTTCTGGAAATGACATTGGAGCGGAGAGCCGGAGGCCGCTGGGTCATGTGACTTTGGGGGAGAGAACATTCCAGGCTGGGTGTGTCGGGATCAGGAAGGAGGCCAGTGGCTGGAGCGAGTAGGAGGAGAGGGTGGAAAGTGAGGGCAGAGAAGGAGCAAGAACAGATCTCGGAAGGACAGGGAGCCTGGGACCGGGGCAGGCTTTTGCCCGGAGCAGTCCAGGAGTGATGGGTGGGTTTGGTGAGGCCTCACAGGGTCTGCCCCTCACTGCCCGGGGGTCACTCCAGATCCTTGAAACAGCTGTCACCAGGGACCCTCGATACGAATACGTCAGGCTCGTGCTTCCTCCTAAGGGGTATTTTGGGGGCTTCCATGGCCCTGCTGCTTGTGCTTCTACCCCTCCCCCCGCCCCCCACTCTAAGGGTTTCTCATGAATGCCCGTCCTTGTTGCTTCTCGGGCTCTACCCATCACCTGGCAGGCTCCACAAATGTTTGATGAGGCACAGGCTTGTATCCTTCCCTGCAGAACACCCTCCAGGCCTCCCCAAAGCTTCTCCCTCCTGCTCACACTGGGCTCCTAGTCCTAAAACCCAGTCCCCCAGCCTCCCAGCCACTAGACCTGGCCCTTGGGGCAATTGTGTTTTTCCTCTCTCACCTCCATACCTGAGCTCTCCTCAGCCCTAATGCACCTGCCTGGGCGGCCCATCCCCCTCTGCTCTTCCCCACAACTCTGGCCCTCCTGCCCTCACCCCGGATCAGTGGCTATAGCCTGCGCCTCCCGCCTGGCTCCAGCCTCTTCTTTTCTGACCAGGGTCATTGCCCTGTCCTCTGGTCTCACCCTTCCAATCCGTCCCCTCCGTGGCCTCAGAGGGGTCTTTTCTACACTTATTTTCACCCCCACCCTGCTCCCTGCTCTCCCATGACTTCCTAGTGCCCCTCAGAAGAAGCCTCTGGCCTGTCCTCATCCCGCCGGTGGCCCTGCCTGTTCTGGCTCCAAATGATAACGTCCAGTGTGCTCCTATCTCCTCCTCCCATCTTGCCCTCTGTGATCTGATCTCTCAGACCTGATCCACCGGTTTAGAAACCGATTACGCCGCTGCTTCAGATGTTATAGAAGCTTCGTGGAATGAAGTTTACCGGTTTGGAATGCTGTTTCCTATTACTGGCGTCAGCTCTTGGGTGACCTTTTCTCGGACACGCTGGGGTCACAGTGCCCGTGATGCGTCCATGAGAACACGTGGCCCTGGTTGCTGACAGTCGTCCCCTGTGGGCTTGGGCCTCCCCGAGAGCAGGGATCTCTCCCCTGGTCTCTGCTGCTTAGAACGCCACCTGCTACACCCTAGCCCGGTAGCTCAGTCTGTTTGAGCATCATCCCAGTAACGCCAGGGTCATGGGTTCAGTCCCTGGGCAAGGCACATGTAAGAATCAAACAGTGAGTGCGTGAATAAGTGAGACAGTGAATCGATGTTGTGAGAGAGAGAAAAAAATACCACACAGGTATCTTCAGGAGCGAGTCCGAATCATGAGCTCACATTCCATGCTTTTTCCCCCAGAGCGGGCGGTGCCCGGGCGGCTGCTGAAGACCCGGGCGATGCGAGAGATGTACCGGAGCTACGTAGAGATGCTGGTGAGCACCGCCCTGGACCCGGACATGATCCAGGCCCTGGAGGACACGCATGGTGAGCTGTGGCCTGCAGGGCGGGAGCGGCGCACCCAGGCCCCCACCCCCTCCTCTGCCTTCCCCACAACATGGTGTGACTGTGGCTCTTCTCACACCCTTTCCTCGTCTTTCAGATGAGCTGTACCTCCCGCCCATGCGGAAGATCGACGGCCTCCTGAATGAGCACAAGAAGAAAGTCCTGAAGCGGCTGTCGCTGAGCCCGGCCCTGCAGGTGCTCGGGGGCTTGGGCAGGAGCTGTTGGGGGTCCAGAGATCAGGCCTGGAGGACGTGTGGACACGCTGGCCACTGCGGTGGTCCCCGGGACATGTGCAGGGGGCAATCACTGGAAGGGGCGGGCTTGGCCAGGGGAAACGTCGAGAGCAGGGCTGTCAGAGGGGGTTTGCTGTAGCCTTACAGGCCCAGGGGGAGGGGAGCCAGGATGGTGTGGAGGGGTTACGAAGGTCTGGCTGGGGTGGGCTTCTGGGAAGGCCCAGCAGAGTGTGGCTATGCAGTAAAAGTCTGGGGACAAAAGACAGACGGGACCCGCAGCGAGGACTTGTTTGGATTCAGATGGCTTCTCCACGGACATAATACAACTTCTTAGAGTCTCAGGCTTAAGTACTAAGTCATCTACGTACTTTCTCTCTGGAACTGCCTAGGGCTCTGGGGTGGAGTGTCAGGGCGGCGCAGGGGACTCTGGGATAGAGGGTGAATCTGGCCGTGAGAATTCTGATGAGGATGTCCATGTCCTGCCGAGAATTGGGGGGTAGAGTGGTGGGGCGACTCAGGTTCCTGGGATGGAATGTTAGCCCACCCTACAAATTCTAGGGAGGGATGCCAAGTCTAGTTCTGTGAGTTCTCGGATGGGTGTGAGGCTGGCTCTGGAAGTTCTTGGCGGGATATTAGTTGGCCTCAGAAAACGGAAGTGCTCATCCAGTTCTAGAACCCCTCGGGGGACGTTAGGATGACTCTGAGAATTCTGGGAGCGACCCTTCCTCTGACCGAGAAGAGTGGGGAGGGTGTCTTGCTAGGGTTCAGAAATTCATTATTTGAAAAAAGGAAAAAAGCCATTGTGGAATACACGCATACCACATCTTATTATAATTCACAAGATACTTGCTTTTTTTTTTTTCCCGCCAATTGAAAGTAAGATCCTTCGCCAGCAAAAAAAAAAAAACTTATAATTTACAAAGGCTCCAACGATGATCAGAATTTTTTAGTGATAAATTTTTTTAAAGATTTTATTTATTTATTTTTAAAGAGAGGGGAAGGGAGGGAGAAAGAGAGGGAGAGAAACATCAGTGTGTGGTTGCCTCTCACGTAGCCCGGACTGGGAACTGGCCCACAACCCAGCCATGTGCCCTGACTGGAAATCGAACCAGCAACCCTTTGGTTCACAGCCCACACTCAGTCCACTGGGCTACACCAGCTAGGGTACAATAAAGTTTTTTTTAATGAAGGTATATACGTTTATTTTTGGAAAGAATGTTATTGCATAAACATTACTTTCACGTGTTCCCAGAAACCCAAAGTTTCCCGACGCGCTTTATTGCCGCCAGGGGTCTGGGCCTGAACCCAAGGCGTCTCCAGAGTGTACCCGTGTTAGGACAGGTCTCAGGGTCACCGGATAGAAAGTAGCCTGGCACTGGGAATCCTGGATTTTAGGCCGATTCTTAGAATTTTGTATAAGATAGTGAGGTAGCTCTGAGGACTCTGGGAGGAAATTGGGTGTCTGAGAATTCTGGGACATGCCACGGAGCGTATAAAAGGTCACCAGGCAGGTCGAGGCTCCATGGTCCTTGAAAGAGAGCAGGGCTCCCAATTGTCTTTCATGATCTACAGCCTGGGGAAACTGAGAGAACTGGGTGCTGGGTTTGGGGTGCGTGGGCCCAGGGAGGCGTCCCGCTGATCTGCCCCCCCCCCACAGGACGCCCTGCACACGTTCCCCCAGCTGCAAGTGGAGCAGAGTGGGGAGGGCTCCCCTGAAGACGGGGCCGTGCGGCTGCGGCCGGCTGGGGAACCCTACAACCGGAAGACACTCAGCAAACTCAAGAGGAGCGTGGTCCGGGCCCAGGTGAGGCCAGGAAGGGGCGGGCAGGGGCAGGGGGATCAGAGAGAGGGGCTGCCGCCCAGGGCCGGGGGGGGGATGCTGAGGCTTCTCTGCCCCATCTGCCCAGGAGTTCAAGGTCGAGCTGGACAAGTCAGGCTACTACACGCTGTACCACTCACTCCACCACTATAAGTACCACACTTTCCTGCGCTGCCGGGACCAGGTGAGTCCCTCCGCCCTGGGGTATCCCCTCATGGGTTGTTCTATGCACCCAGGGGTCTGGGACCCCAGTACTCCCTCCCTCAAATCCCAAACCCAGGCCTCCCCCAGCCCCTCCTCCCTGAGGCCCGGGAGTCCAGCTCCCAGCCTGCCTCTCCCCGGGACGTTAACCCGTGGGCCCCTGCCTCCTCCCACCCCAGGCCCTGGTGGCCGCCCGCCGCAGCTGCGCGTTTCAACCCCTGCAGACCCTGGCCATCGAGGGTGGCGCTGAGGACCTGGGCCAGGAGGAGGTGGTCCAGCAGTGCATGCGGAACCAGCCGTGGCTGGAGCAGCTCTTCGACTCCTTCAGTGACCTGCTGGCCCAAGCACAGGCCCACAGCCGCTGCGGGTGACCCGCCGAGGCCTGGGGGACACACCTCCACCACGAACCGAGAACTGGGGCAGAACCGTGTGCTCAGGCGCGACCCCCCAGGCCCCGCTGCCAGGGAGTGGGGGGCGGTCACCGGTCAGGGTGTGTCCGTGCTGCCCCCGCAGGGCAGGGTTCAGAGTTTGACTCACCCCTCTCCCAAGCCCTCTCCGCTCTCCCCATTCCTCCCACTGTCCGGTGTACAGAGAAATTATTTATATATATGTATAAATGTCTATTTAGTAACGGTTTCCCTCTCCCCCCCGGGCCCCACTCCCCGCTCCACGGCCATAGCCCCCACCCCCTCCACCTTGTACATAATGTATAGGAAAAGTCTATGTATGGTTGAGGGGGGTGGGGTGGCTTGAGAGAGTTGGGGGACCCCCTCACCCCCAAGTTCCCCCCTTACAGGCCAAGATCTTTGCTAAAGGCCATTCCCTCCTCAGGGCCTTCGGTGTCCGATGGGAAGGGGAAAATGCATCTTGTTAATTATTTTTAATCTTATTTATTGTACATACCTGGGGCGGGGGGCTGGGGAGGTGGAGAGGGGAGAAGGGTCCCCTCCCTGCGCCCCTCCCACTCCTTTTCTACTGCGGTTTGTCTGTGTCTCCCTCCACCCCCAGCACACACACCGCCCCTCCTCCCATTGTCGTCTGGATGTGGTTCTATTTTTTATCGGCCTCTCCTCCCCTCCTACCTCTCTCTAACCCCTCTGCTCCCACCCCCCCACCCCACCCCCGTTGTCTCTTGCTCTTTCTTGGGCTTCTGTACAACTCAACTTGTATACACTGTGTACACACGACCAGCCAAACGAAAACCCGACAGCCAACACTTTATCGGCAGGCTGGAGTGGCTCTGTCTCGCGGCATCTGGGGGGCGGTGGGGGCGGAGCACCGGCAGGTGGTCTGGAACAGGTGGCTTTTCTGGAGCCCTGGGAGGTGGTTGGGCTGGCGACATTGTATCCATGATGTCTCGCTGTGTAACAAAGAGCCCGCCCCAAAATTTAGTGACTTCAAACAAGAAGCATTTATCATTGTACGGTTTCTGGGGGTCAGGAGCTTGGGAGCCGATTAGCTGGATGGGACCGCCCTGGGGTCTGTCACGAGTGTGGCAGTCGTCAGGGATTTGACTGGAGTGTCAGTATCTAAGTTTTGGGGTTTTTTAAAAGATTTTATCTATGTTTTAGATAGGGAGGGAGAGAGGGAGATAGACAACAATGTGTGGTTGCCTCTCGAGCGCCCCCTGCCAAGGATCTGGCCCATAATCTAGGCGTGTGCCCTGAATGGGTATCGAACCAGTGACCCTTTGATTCTCAGGCCAGCACTCAACCCACGGAGCCACACCAGCAAGGGCTTTTTATTTATTGCTTCTAGAGAAAGAGATTAACTGATGTGAAAGAGAAACGTGGATTGGTTCCCTCATACATGTCCTGAACCGGATCGAACCTGTGACCCCTTGGTCTATGGGCCAATGCTCCAACTGAGCCCCACTGGCCAGGGTGATGCATTTTTAAGCCAATACAGGCAGTGACGGGTGTCAGGAGCTGCCCAGCTTTCCCTTGGCTCCCTAATGTAGAGTTGGGAGGGGTCTCTGTGTCCTTAAGCCCTGAAACTACAAGGTCACCAGTGGGCTTGGCAGGTCAGTGGCTGGCGTGCATGGGTGAGGCTGGATTCTATACTCCTCACGGTGACCCAGGACTGCTCGGGAGGTAGACTTAGGGTCTGCATGAGAACCCACTTTTCATGAGACTGGGAGGATTCTAATGCACACTCAAGGTCAAGGAGCAGTGCCCTAGAACAAGAACCTAAAGCCTGGAGTCCCCCGGCACTATTCTAGAACCCAGCCCATAAAGCAGCGAGCAAGCCATTGTAGAACCTGGGTGCTGGCCGTCAGAGATGGATTTCCTGGTGTCCTAGGACCCTAGTATCAGCATTGAGGGCAGCTGGGCTGGGCTGGTCAGTGGGTAGAGACCCCGCGAGATTTAAGGCTACGTCATCAGCATCCTAGACCCCCGGGAGAAATTGATGGAGAACCCCCACTGTTCTAGAATCCTGGGTATTGTCTAGACCACCACCACACTATTGACTGTAGAGCCCTGGTGGTACAGAATGGCTAGTAACATTGGAGAACCATAGTGGGAGAGTCAGTGGTGGACTGGACTTTCGAGTCATCTTCATTAAGAGCATTCTCTTGAGAGTGGCCCGTTGGGAGTATAGGCTCAGAGAGAGTGGCACATTCAAGGTCCTGGATTGGATGTCAAATTGGGACCAAAGTGTCCATGATCAGCATTGTCCCCAGTCAGAGCTCTGGGATTGAAAGTGGATGGGGAGGTCAGAAGGGGAAGCAGTCTGCTTGCCTCCGTTATTCAGCTGCCCTGACTGAATCCCAGCTCTAGCAAGTTGAAGAATAGTTTCACACCCTCAGCCTTGTCATCTGTAAAATTGACTTTATTAAATATTTTATAATATTCGAAGGGAGGGGGGAGAAACATCAATGTGTAGTTGTCTCTCACACGCCCCTTATTGGGACCTGGCCCGCAACCCAGGCATGTGTCCTGACTGGGAATTGAGCTGGTGACCCTTTGGTTCACAGGCCAGCACTCAGTCCACTGAGCCACACCTGCCAGGGCTGTAAAATTGACTTTCTGTCAAGATGAAGGAAACGTATTTGAAGCATTTGGCACTGCCCGGCGCTTGGCTTCTGCTACCCATAGCAGGAGACTTGAAGAGGTGTGTCGGGTGTGCAAGAGATGGGTTGAGAGACAGGTTGACAAAGATGAGTAGACAGAGGGGACATCAGAACCCAGAGAGACAATCATTGACGGGGCTCGCCAGGCTCCAGGGGAGGGCAGGGATCAGAGAGGCTCACGGGCACACACACGTGCCTCGGGCGATGCCAACTAGGTCATCCCAGGCTCCTTGCTCTGGTCTGATGAGCTTTGGAATGGTGGTGCCTGTGAACCTTCCAAAAATGGCCTGCCAGTTGTCGTGTGGGTTTGCATGTGTCTTTTTCTGGGGCAAATGGTAGCTTTCATCAGCTTCTCCAAGTGCCTCCAGAAGCAGGATGTCCTGGCCAAGAACTTGGCTCTGTTAGTCATTGCAGAAAGAACTCTCAAACCTTGTGTTCAGGGAGTGCCTCACCCCTGGTTGGCCCTTTCGGTGGAGGCTTCAGATCTTGTCTGGGAGCCACTAGAAACATCCCCCTTGGGTCCCCTCCCTGGCCCGCAGAGGTGGGTCTCTGGTGGGCGGAGGCCCTGTGGGGAGGTACAATACATCTGAGCCACGCTTATTCCCAGGGCGGAAGGCTGAACTCAGGCCAAGGATTCTGTGATAATGAAACCCGGAAAGGGATATTCAGTTAATCATTGTTCTCATCTGGAATACAGAGGGACATTCATGGTTCTGGGGCAGGAGAACACTGGGGCCTCGGTCATGGAGACTGAGCACTTAGTAAGTTTCAGACACTGTGTCCATCCCGGGCGCACGTTGGCCCCTCAAGGCCCCTTGCCCTGGGAAGTGGCTCTGTGGTCGTCCACGTTTCACAGGTGAGAAGACAGAGGTGCTTGGCTGAGTTGGCAGAGCTTGTCTTGAACCCAGGCAGTCTGCTGCCAGGGCCCATGGTCAACCCGAGGTCCAGGAAGTGGGCCCTGGGTGGGTGTGAGGGGAACATGTGGGGGCTGAGATTCTGCAGACAATTATTTACTTATTTCCTTACCCTTAGAGAGAGGGGAAGAGAGGGAGAGCAACATCAATCAATGTGTGGTTGCCTCTCACGCACCCCCGCTGGGGACCTGGCGCACAACCCAGGCATGTGCCCTGACTGGGAATTGAACCAGCGACCCTTTCCTGTGCAGGCTGGAGCTCAGTCCACTGAGCCACACCAGCCAGGGCTTTGTGGACATTTAGATGTGGGGGTAGGGGCAGCAGATCATTGGCTGGTGACAATCAGGTGGAGGTCAAAGTTCCAGAGCCCCGCAGCATCTGGAATACAGAGGGACATTCTGGGTTGAGGTTTCTAGCTCGGTATGTTGAGCGGGTGTGGGGTTCAGTTGCGCTCGAGAGACAGACTTGGGAGGGGGGTGAGCGGTGGTCTCCAGTTCTGGCTCCAGCCTTCCAGCTCAGCAACCAGAGCATAGGATCCGGGGTTCTGGGTCAAGTGGGGAGGAACCCAAGTCTTCCAGACTGAATGGTGTTGACAACTTCTTCACCCCACACCTCAGCCCCTCCCAGGAGAGAGGCTCTGATGGGTGTGTCCGCACCGGCCGAGGTTGGATTCAGGGTGGAGACTCGGACGTCAGCCCAACTGGGAACTTTCTGGAACTGAGAACTTGCCAGCTGGCTGCTCAGACACCCTTCAGTCCACCTGTCTCTTTCTCCTGCGGCCAAAAGGCCTTTCAAAATACATACTGGAGGTGGGAGGCAGACAGGACAGGGTTTGTCGAAGTTGCTGCCTGTTTCCAAGGCCTGGAAACTTCTAGAGCACAACTGCCCGCTCGTCCTTGGTGTGGTGGTGGGTACAGGTCAGCCCTGGCCATCCAGGTCACTTCTAGCCACATGTGAACAGTGAATTCCTGAAACAGTGGCCAGTGTGACCGAGTGTCCCATTTTGTCACTGTATTTAAACAGTCACCATTGCTTCTGGCTACCCTATTGAACCGTGCAGTTTTTAGAATGTAACAGAAAAAAAAATCTCTTTCACATATCAAACCTCATCCCAACAAATGCCCACTCAGACTGAAAAGGGTGGGATGGCCCTGTTGAAGGGTAAGCGGGGGCCGTGGGGGGCAGGGTCCAGACACCTAGCTCCCCTTGTGGTCTGTGGCCCTTGTCCTACAAAACAAAGGATTCTGGGTGGGTGCAGGCTTCAGCGTGTGTACTGAGTTCACCAACCTCCCCTAGCCCTTTTCCCTTTCACAAAAGCACTTCCTGACATTGGCAGTGACCTTTATTTCTCTGGGACAGGATTATATACAGCAGTGACCCGGATGCCCGGGAGCCCCTCACCCCCAGCAGGGGCTCAGGTGGGGGAAGGCGGCGTTGGCAGAAGGCACACAGTGGCACTGGCCCTCAGGCCAGGAATTATGGGTGGGGGTGTAGTGTATCCTAGGAGACCCAGGTGGGGAAACTGAGGCCTGGCAGGGGCAGCTGGTCCCTAGAACTTGTGCTGGTAGTTCCTCCGATGTCCGGGCTACAGGAGGACGCAGGGGCAGCCCCGGTCCTTCTTCCTGGGGGCACTGGGCGGGCTGGGCGGGAGCTCTTGTTCCTGGTACTTCCTGTGGGAAGAGGCTGGTGAGTTTGGGCCCCAGGGGTTGGGGACCAGAGTGACAGGAAGGGGGGGGTCCACTCACCGGACAGCCCGCACCAGCTGCTCGAAGGCCTCGTCCACATTGAGACGCAGTTTGGCCGAGGCCTCGAAGTACGCCACGTGGTGGGAGGCACTGAAGGCCAAGGCTTCAGATCGGGGCACCTGTGTGTGTGTGGGGGGCACAGTGAGGAGCCAGGGTGGGTCTCAGTAGGAGGGGGCAGAAAGAAGACACACTGTGTGCTGGAGTGGGGGCTTACACACAGTGGGATTTCAAGTGGAGAGGGAAAGCTACAGAGATCTCAGTGGGAGATGCCCAAGGGACTCAGTGCCATCTAAGGAGCCAGGGCAGGGCAGGTGGCACAGAGGTTTGCCCTCCTGAGGGAACTTCTGTGGCAGAGACGTCGGGGGTGTTCCCGCAGAGGCCTGAGTCAAACGCCCAGGGCTGGAAACCCCCCCAAAGGCTTCCTCTCAAAGATGTGTTTTGTATCCGCACAGTCTGCGTGTGAAGTAGAGAGAAGTGGCCAGTACAGAGAAAGGCAAGAGACCGTGATGGGCCTCCGGCGTCAGGTGGAAGAGTCGCGTTTTTTGTTCCCTAGGGGCAACGTGGAGCCGCGGAAGGCCGGGAGAAGGGGAGGGGCTCCGAGTGGGAGGTGCACTTGGAAGCGGGAAAGAGGTGGCTGCAGCGGCAGGGGTCCGGGTGGGAACAAGAAGCAGGGACGGAGCCCTTTTCCCATCCAGCCTCCTGTGTTGGGAACGCCTGTGGGCAATGCCGGGGACTCAGACGGTCCGACTCAGGGGCCACACATCTAGTGAGCTCAGAGCAATGGAGGAAGCAGAACGCCGAGGCGAGGGGAGGCTGAGCTGGAGTCCCCGTGGGGAGCAGGGGCGGAGGGTCCCAAACCTGGCGCTGCGTCTCCAGATCTGCCTTGTTCCCGACCAATACAATGGGGAAGTCGTCGCGGTCCTTGACTCGGAGGATCTGCGTGAAGAGCTTGCCCACCTCATTGAAACTGCAGAGGAAGCCAGAAGGGTGAGGTCCAGCTGCTTAGCCCGGGTCCCCTCTGCTCCATCACCTCCCTGCTTCCTCCCTCTCACCTCTGCCGATCATTAATGGCAAACACCAGCAGGAAACCGTGCCCGGCACGCATATACTGCTCCCTCATGGCGCCAAACTCCTCCTGGCCTGCAGTGTCCAGGACTGCAGGGAGAGGGAGAGAGTTACCATGTGGATGAGTCTCCCGCTGGCCATCCCCACGTGCCCTCAGCCCTGCTACAGCCCTCCCATCCACTCTCTGCCTCCCTTACTGTCCAGCCTGGCGGGGACGCCATCCACCGAGCAGATCTTTGTGTAGGAGTCTTCGATGGTGGGGTCATAGTCAGACACGAAGTAGGACTAGTGGGGTGCGGAGAGGACACTGTTACTCTGCTGCCCAAGCACAGATGGCGTGTAGTCTGTTCCTGGGGCCTGCCTTTCTCTGCCCCCTTCTCTTTGGCTCCCCCTGCCCTCCCACCCTGTCTCGCCTCTGAGGCTCTCCTGGATCTCTCTCTCTCTCTCTCTCTCTTTCTGGTATAAAGTACATCTCCCACATCGTGAGATCACCTCCTGGCTGTGCAGCATTGAACAAATCACTTCCCCTCTCAGAACCTCAGTTTCCTCATTTAGAAAGCGAAGATAAAAATAGCCCTCCATTGAATCCAGTGTTCCTGAGATTCAGGGAGAATCCATTTAACACATCATCTGGACATAGTAAGTGCTCAGTTATTGGGAGCCGACTTGTCCAGAGTATCTGTCTATGTGTATCTCTCCCTCCTCCTCTTTTCCTTCCTTTTTTTCCCCTCCTCCTCCTCACACTCCTCCTCCTCACACTCCTCCTCCTCCTCCTCCTCCTGGGCAGCTTTTAGTGTCTCCTCCCAGGGGAAGGTCCGGGTTCCAATCCAACTGCGGAGAAACTGCCCCTCCCGCAGGCTGGGCCCCTCCCTTCCTGCCTGGGTCCTGCCTGTCTCTAGCTGGGCCTTTGACCGCTTTGGGTCTGCCCCTGGGGCAAGGGGCCCCGGGCTGGGGAGCTTGTCTTTACTCGGGCAGGGGCTCTCCAGCAGGTGCTGGCTGGGGTCTCTTGAGGAGCCTGGGGCCCAGGGGCCTTTGCAGTATCATCTCAGGAGCAGACACCTTTCTAGGGTTTCTCTGAGGCGGGCACATTTCCCTTTGGGAGTGTGATGGACGTTTCCTAGGCAGGGGTGCATTTTCAACAGAGAAGGGGTGATCTGGAAGCTGGGGGTCTCAGGGCTTCTCATCTCGTCTGCTAGGGGAGGTGTTTCGTGAGGGCTTGTCCTGGAGAGAGGGTGTAGGGACCAGGCCTTGCAGGGGGAGATTAGGGGGTGTCTTCAGCACACCACTGCAGAAGCTCAGGGGTGAGAACTGGGGAAACGCCCCAAGGTAATTTGAGCGCATGAGGGAGGTTTGTCATAGGATATAGGTGAGTGTCTAGAGTCTTAGACACTCTGACACTCATTTATGGGGCCAAAGACACTCCCCAGGAGTAGGTGTTTCTGGGGTGTCAAGAATCTGGGGGGTTTTTCTATGGAGACAATTAGGGGCTAGCCAAGGTTTCTGAGAGGGGCTCATGGGGGCAGAGTGGAAAAGTCAACATGGAGGAGTGTTGGTTTTTCTTAGGGGAGAGTGGAGGTCTGGGTCTGGTGGGATGGAGGAGCCCCAGGACTTGGGGTCCTAGAGCTCTCTGGAATGACCAAGGATCTTGTGGAACTCGGATCTGACAGGCCTCAGGGGCAGAGTCTGAGCATAATTTCTAGATTCTAGGGGAGGTCCCTGAAGGGGCTAAGCATACAGTCTGGGGGCATCTCAAGGGGTTTGGTTACAGGCAGTCTCCCAGTTAGGCTGAGTAGCACAGAGGGAAAGCTGGGGTCTAGGATTTGGGGGACATGGGGCTCAGGGTGAGGGGGAATGGCATCTCTAGGGGTGGGGGCATAGGAGAGGGTTTAGGGTCTGACCGGGTGACTCATGGATTTAAAGTGCCTCCAGAGGTGCTCCGGGTCAGGTCAGCAGGGATGGGGGGTCTTGGGTCTTGGGGACAGGGACACAAAGTGTGAGTATAGGAGGGTCACATTCTGAGAGGAATTTTTAAGATTAGAGGGCCTCATAGGAGGGCTTCAGTGATGGATCGAGGTGAAATTGGGGTCTCAAGGATCCTCCCACGGGCTAAGTTCTGGGTCCCAGGGACACCCGCCCGGGTGAGGGGCCCACTACCTGGATGAACTGGATGGTCAGCGCACTCTTCCCCACGCCGCCGCCGCCCACGACCACCAGCTTGTGTGTCTCGCTGGGTGGGGGGTCCCCGGGTCCCGGTCCCCCGCCCCGGGGCCGCCCCCGCCCGGTCCCGGACGCCGCCCCGCTGCTCATGTCGCGTCCGCTGCTGCCGCCGCCGCTACCGCCTGGGGGGGAGCAGGGCGGGGCCTAGGGGGCGGGCCACGCTAATAAGCCTACTGCATAATTATGAGCTCCAGCCAGATAGACGCGAATCTCGGTACACTTAAGGAGGAGGTAAGGCCAGGGAAAAGGAGGAGCTATGCTAACAAGGGCTGGAGAACTAGGTTCGCTGAGAAGGGGAATTCCAAAGAGGCGGGGATATGCTAATGAGAAAACTGCTTACCCAGAGCAGCGCCATGCGCTCTGGGCTGTCGGGCCTCTTGGGGGCGGGGCTATGCTAATAAAAGTTCTTATTCTTTCGGCACACGGGTGGGAAATATTGTCCCGGGCGGGGCTATGCAAATGAAAGCCCTGTGATGCAGTTTCTCAAGTACCCTCCCTGGAGGCCTTGTTCTAGTAGGCGGAGCTCGCCGGCTCGCGCGTGGCCGTATATAGGCGCGCTCCGAGGAAAGAGCAGGTCTTGAAGGGGAAGCTCCACCTCCGTCCTGTGATCGCAGCCAAACTCCCGACCCGGGCGCCTGGGCTGGATGTCAGAGTCTCCACCCGCTGAGGGACCCAGGCTTCCGGTTCCCTCTGTCCCAACCAAGCGGAAGACAGACTGGGAGGGGAGTTGGAGGCCCTAGAGGAGGACAGCCGAGTAACGGGGCTGGGAGGGGCCGTGAGATCACTGCATTCCTAATCCGTGAGACAGTTCTCCCAAGCCGGGACGCCTGGGTCATGGATGGCCTAGAGCCAGGATTTCTGGGTCTTTGAAGGAGGAGAAAGCTGAGGGCCCAGACTCCTGGGTCTGTAGGAGAGAGTGGGGCTGGAGGCTTGGATTCCTGTATCTCAGCAAGGAAGGGATCTGGGCGTCCTTGTCATTAGGACTACCCATGTTGTGTAAACAGGAAGCTGAGGGCCCAGACTCTTGGTTCCAAGGATTGGATGCGCTGGGGCCCCAAGTTCTTGATCCCGAGGGAATTGGGGTGGGGAACCGAACACTTGCGTTTGTGTAAGGTACGAGCCTGAAACCAGAATGCTTTGAGGAAAGGCCTGAGGGCTCGATTCCTGGATCTGAGGGAGAGGAGGCCTCGGACCCCTAAGTCCCAAGAAGGAGGGAAATGGGAGACTCTTCGGCTGAGAGGAATAAAATTTTGGATTTTTCTATCCTAAATAAGGAGGCAGTAGGGCTGGCTTTCATGGTTCTAAATTTGGAGGGGTCTGGGCGATCGGGATTCTGGGCTCCTTAGAATGTGGGCGGGCCAACTCGCAAGCAATTCAGCTTTTTTTTTTCATATTGCCCACTCCACAGAACTACAATTCCCTTGCATCTGACCCGCTGAGTGCTTTTTACGTTACTTCCTGTTCCTCAGCTCTTTCCGCGCGCGCGCAGGGTATTGTGGGACTTCATCGCGGACTACCGCAACCCCGCCCACTTCACCTCTCACCCCTTGCTGTCGCCGCGTGACGGAGGCGACGCGCGGACTACCTATCCCGGCGTGCGTCGCGCGCATCCCTGCCCAGGTGCCCCGTTGGATGTCGGGAAACTGAGTCCAGCGCCTTCCCACCAACCTTCAAGGCACCGTGCACGGGACTTGAAGTCCCGACGAGCTCGGCGGTGCCTTAGCTCCGCCCCTCTCCTCCCCCTGCTCGCGAACCTCCCCAGTCGGCCCCGCCCCGCGCCGGGGCCGGAGCCGCAGCCCGAGCGGCGGGGTAAGATGGCGGCGGTGGTTCGGGCCGCGGGGCTCGGGCCTATTGGGGTGGGCGGGGCGGAGTCGGGTCGCTAGTATCCCTGTGGTCCTCTCCACACTCCGCGGGGTCTGAAGGACTTAGTGGGGTGGCCTCCAGCCCGGCAGCGGCGGCGGAGCCTGACGCCGAGCGGGGACCTTCTCAAGGCCCCGGGACGCGTCTGTGGGTGCCGGGGGCATCCACGGGGCGTCCCCATGATAACTGGGGACGCCCACAGGGCCTGGACCGAGACTGGCGCCAGCCCTCCATCATATAGCCGCCTTGGGCCATTTCTGTAGACACTGTTGATCGTCTTTATGGACTGAACGGAGGCTAGGGTCTGATCAGAGGGTTCTGGGGCCATCTTGAGATCTTGAGACATGTCCCAGGGGTGAAGGAGGTCTGCAAGAGCTGAGGAGTATCTGCTGAGCCATCTGTAGCTCTGGGGTATGTCGGTTGGGGCTGGGAAGTGTCTGCATGGGCTGACCTGAGGATGCCACTCACCGACATGGGTCTGGGGCCATTTAGCAAGCCTGAAAGAACTGTTCCTGGATTAGGAAGTCGTTTAGGGGTGGGATGTACCCACGAAGGGAGGGAATCGAATACTGAGATGTGCCGAAAGGCCTGGATGGGTCTCCAACGTCTGGGGAGAGTCTAATCTGACTGACAGAAGGCTGGGGGCAGTTAGAAGGACCTGGAACCATCTCGGTGGCTTTGAGTGTGCCTGCAAGAGTGCGGTCTCTGTGCCTGGAGCAAATGCAAATGCCTTTTGGGGCCAGATAATCAGATGGAGAATAAAACAAAGGAGAGTATTGGAAAATTTGCGGAGCGCAATTGTACTTGCGCTTTAGAAGGTAATTCAAATGCAAAATGTCTTTAAAAGTCTGCCTTGTCCTGGGGTTCTAATTTGTTAGAATTAGTCCACTAGTCTGGGAAAGTCAGTGGGACCACCTAGACATGTCGTGCAGTGCTTTTCAAACTCTTTTGACCTTGATCTACAGGAAGAAACACTTTTCATTGAGATCCAGTAGCTACACATAATTCACTACTACTCATGTCTCATTACTATTTCTACTTACTACTTGGGATGTACCGTGAAGACATTTTTTCTTTTGTGTTCGATTCACTTTTTTATAACAAGCTATTTGTGAAGCACTCTACTGCTGTTCATGGGAATCGCTCACTGATCTAGAAGGACCTAGCAATGTCTGGGGAGCCTTCTCAAGTCAAAAACATCTAAGTCAGGAGTCCTTGCTGTGTGTATCTGCAGAGCTTGGGGCGTGTCTGAAGGGACAAGGGAGCATGTTCATACCCACAGAGGGTCTGGGGTCTGCGTGTCTGTAGTCAGCAGATCTCCATTAAGCTTTCGCTATATGACAGTCACTGTAGCTTGTGCTTTCACAGGGAGGTGTTGGAGAGCAGTTCCAGGGCTGGGAACTGTCCCTAGGTCCTTATCAGGGTGGGTGTCAATGGGAGTTAGGGAAGGAGCCTGAGACTCTTAGCCCAGGGGCTGCACAGGGGAGCCTTGGCAAAGCTTGAAAACCCAGTAGGAAGGAGATCTGGACAGAGGTCTTGGCAGATGTGCAGCGGGAGAAGGGGAGAAGACATGTGGAGGAAACCTGGGCCCTCAAGGCTAGTAATAACGATAATTATTGTTACCCTGTGTTGTGTACTGGGTTGAGCGAACTCCGTGGCAGAAGTGTCTCCTTTCAGTTCCCATCGCTCCTATCCGAGGGAGATTCTCCGATCGTGCCACATAGAGATAAGCACCCTGCACTGGGGATGAGGGGTTTGAGGCTTTCTAGGAATTTCCAGACCGAGTATTATTTCAGAGCAGCAGATTGGACAGTTGGAGGCTGAAATATCCCTCTTTCCTCTGGCCCTAACGAAGACGACTGCCAGTCTGAAAGACGATCTTTTAAATTTAGTATAATCTAAGTATCTGCAACATTGCAGAGGTTTCAGCCGTGCGTGCATGCAGTGGGCAGATGGGCCACAGGCGATGTCCCCATGGGGTCAGGTGGACAGCATGCCTTTCTGAAATTAGTCTTTTCATTTCACAAGTGGCGCACAGGTTTTGTAAGGCACACGATCACAGTTCTACCCCGTGTTACGTGTATAAGTAGCCTCAGAAGCGTGATGCTGTAGGAAGTCGCGTTATGCTTGAGGCATACCCTGCATTCTGGCACAGACCTCCTTTTGGGAAAGTTGTACTGCGGGAGACCCTGGAGCACGTGGTTTGAAACCACAGCTCAACAGAAAGAGTCTTGGCATTGGGTTGGATCCCACGAGGGTGGGCTCTGAGGTCATAAGTTGAGCTGTGGGGAGAGCTGTGGGAACTGGGGAGTGAGGTGTTGAAATTGAAGGCTGGGATGGCTTCCCTTGCACAGAGGAGGCAGCTGAAGTTCAGGCAAGGGCAGAGAATCGCCCTACTCCCTCTGGGGTCTGCCCTGGACCTGGTGCCCACCCGAGGCCTGGGGTGAGGTTGGGGAGAGGAGGGATCCTGGAGAGAATGCCGACCGAGGCAGTGCTGGAGGCCCTTGAGGTCTTCATGACCATTTTTTTGTTTATATCCCTGCCCCGAGCACACATGCACCCCCCCCCCCACCAGCCCCTCGCCTGCTGGCCTGCAGGTCTGCACTACACAAACTCTCACCCCCCAACCTCCAGGTGACCATGGAGGAAGAAGATGAGTCTCGAGGGAAGACAGAGGAGTCGGGTGAGGATCGGGCCGATGGGCCGCCGGACCGAGACCCCACGCTTTCTCCTACTGCCTCCATTCTGGTGAGGCTGCCAGCCACCTGGGGCCAAAGGAGGGGGAGGGGGCCGAGGGGCTGGATTCCACTCAGACCCTGGTGGGAGGAGGGGCTGCAGGCCTAGACCTTTGACCCCTGGTGGTAAGGTGTCTAGAACGCCCATCTCCCAGGAGCAGAGCTTGTGACTCTTTTGCAAGAGTCCCCCGACTGCTACCCTTTCTTTGCACGCCACTAACCCACCATCTTTTCTGTAGCGGGCCATTCAGCAGGCTATGGGAAGTTCCCTGCAGGGAGATCTGGCAAATGATAAAGGTATGTTGGCTTCTGGGTCCTCTTAGCTCGTAGCTCCCTGTCCCATCTCTGTGTTCTCCATCCCAGTTTCATTCGCATACTTTTCTGAAGTCTCCTGGGTGCCACCCTTGTGCCCACACGGGAGCTAAAGATGGGTCGAACCCCCGTGGCTGCCTTGCAGGGGGTCCCAGTCTCGTGGAGGGGAGGCAGTCACAGCGCAGAAGTAGCCAGTGGTGCCCTGGGAGGGGCAAGGTGGCCCAGCTAAGCTGACATGGGGGAGACAGGGCCCAGGAAGGCTTCCCAGAGGGGGTGACAGGTGAACTGGGTCTCTGAGACCACACCAGAATTGTCTGGTGGAAAAGAAAGCCCCCAGTAGAGGCGACGGCAGGCGCACAGCACGGGGCACCATGCTGGACTGGGCTGTGGTCCCTGCTGGCTGGCAGGTGGGGGTGCGTGGAGGGGCAGCAGAGGTCCATGGGGATGGGGCCACGGCCCGGCTCCAATGCCGAGCTCACCTGTCTGGATTTCACCCTGAGGGCAGCTGGGAGGACAAATGGGGGAGAGAGTTGGAGCCGCAGAAGGATGTTGGGAAAATCCTTCTGGGACCTAAGTTGGGAGGTGGTGGATGGAGGCTGGGAGAGCAGGTAGGAGCGTGGTGTCCTTGTCAGGAGGGAGGACGCGCTTCTCTTTCCTTCACCCCATGAGATCTCTGTGTCTAGTACCCTGTCCCCAAACTGCCGCGCACAATCTCTCTGCAGATGGCTCTCAGTGTCATGGATCGAGATGGAGGCGCTGCCGGAGCCCCCGGTCAGAGGCCCGTTCCCAGGACTCAGGGGGAGCTGACACAGCTGCTGTGAGTAAGGAGGGGGCGGGGGGAGACTGGCGCTGGGCCTGCATCCCGGCGATGGGGAGACAGGGTTGGGAACTCCGGGCTCCTGGGTCTGGGGTGCTGACTGGGGCAGCGTCTGGGGACAGGCCTTGGGCCCTGGAGGCATCAGGATGAGGGAATTGGTCGACTCCCTTCATTTCTGGGGGGGTCTCAGTTGTCTGGGTTCTTGAGAGGTAGGAACTGGGAAAATGGAGCTCGCGGGTCCTCACGCGATCGGGGGTCAGGGCGGAGCCTCTCCTCCCTGTTCCAGGTGTCGGACATGGCCGCAGACAGCTTCCTGGCGGGCTTGGTGAGCATCCTGGATCCCCCAGACACCTGGGTTCCCAGCCACCTGGACCTGCGGCCCGGCGAGTGAGTAGTCGGGCAGCCGGGGTAAGAGGGGCCTCGGCGTGGGAGCTGGGAGCACCCCTAAGGCCCACTCACCCCTTCTGTCTTGCAGAAGCGAGGACATGCTGGAGCTGGTGGCCGAGGTCCGCGTCGGGGACAGGGGTCCGATCCCTCTGCTGGTGCCCAGCCTGCTGCCGCGTCTCAGGGCCTGGAGGACGGGCAAGACGGGTATGTGTGGCCAGGGAGCCAGGGAAGAGCTGGGCCGGTTCCCGGCCTCAGCTCTGTGGGAGTCAGCTCTCCTCGGAAGCGAGAGTTGTGACGATCACATCAGTTAGAGGGAGTCACTGTTTTAATCTCTCCTTACCTGTTCCGTTGTAGTAAGGGCTGACGCACACAGATGTGCATGAGGTGAATCCTGAAATTTCAACATGGTGGCCACCACGTGGGAGCAGTCAGCACGTGGGAGGCCCTTGGTACCCAGGGTTCTGCAGTCACTGTAAATGCCTGGGGTCCTGTCTCCCCTGGGGCGGGGCCTGGGAGGAGCATCTCCACCTTCTAGAACAGCGCTCCCCAATCTTTCAGGCACTAGGGACTGGTTTCGTGGAAGACACTTTTTCCAGGGACTGGGGTGGAGCCGGTGGGGAGGGGACAGGTGGTGGAGCTCAGCCAGTAATGCTTGCCAGCTCCTCACCTCCTGCCTTGCAGCCCGGTTCCTGACAGGCCCCCGGGGTTGGGGACCCCCGTTGCAGAGGACAAAGCGCTGAGAGACGGGAATTGCGTGCTCATGGTGGCGCACAGTTGTTTAGCGGTGGTGGCCCTGAGCCCCGGAGGAGCTCGGGTGCGATTGAGTGTAAAGCCCAGGTTGTTGACTTTTCTGATCTGCGCCTGCCCAAGCGGAAGCCCTCGCCCCTCCCCCACACGTGCAGCGGTGGGCCTGGGCCCAGCGGCATTGGGCGGAGGCGCTCAGATTGGGGCCTGAGGCAGAATCGCCGCCAGGAGGCCTTGTTGCACAGGTTGCTGGGCCCCGCCCTCAGGGTTTCTGATTCAGGTATCTCGGTGGGGCCGGGTTGCGTTTCTGACCAGTGCCCTGGTGATGCGGTTTTGCTGCTGTCCCCCAGGACCCCAGTGAGTCCCCGAATTCAAACTTCCTGTTCTCCTGGCCGGACCTGTTTGGGGAGGGCAGAGAGGAAGGCGCAGATCTAACAGTAGATCAACTACAAGGCCCTGTGGCTCTCACCATCCCGGGCCAGTTCACTGGTTCCTTGTCCTTGTTTACAGTGGCAGTTTGACCTGTCCCTCAGGCTCAGGGAACATGGTGCCGAGGGCCACTCCACTCTTAGGGGTGCAAATAAGTAATTCCATCTCTTTTAAAATTAGGAGCCATAGAGGCTAAATAAGCAAGGGGATGGGACAATGTTCCAATAAAACTTTACTTGCAAAAACAGATGGTGGGCCGGACTTGGCCCCTGGGCCTTAAGTGGTATTAGATGTGAGTACAACCCACTAGTTGGTTGTTTCATCTTCATCTTGAAAATAGTAACTTACAAAGAAAGAAAAAAACCTCATTCTTCTTTATCTTAAGTAAAAATTATAAAAAGTAGATGCCTTGTGCTTCCAGATTGCTCCTGTCTTTAGACTGTTTCCTGTACGTTACTCAGGTCGTGGTGATAGTAACCAGGGTCCCAGGCGCTCGCTCACACCCACCAAGTCCTCGCGATGCCAGGTGCCGTCTGGTTCCTTCTGCACAGTGCTCCCGGGGCCCTCGTCCCTGTGAGGTCTGGTTGCCCGCATCGTCGTCGCCCCCACACACCCTCCCCGCTTTATTTTCCTCCAGAGCTCTCAGCAGCAGGCGGACTCTGCGCTTGGCACGTTGATATTTCTCTCCCCACTCGAACGTGAGCTCCTGGAAGGCAGGACTTTTTGTCTGTTCTGTTCACCATTCTATTCCTGGCACCTAGAGCAGCACCTGGCACAGATAGGTGATGGATAAAACTGTGTTGAACAGATGCACGCAACCCCGCTTCATAGATGAGGAAACTGAGGCAGACAGAGGCCGAGCAACTTGCCCAGGGTCAGGTCACGAGGGAGGGCCAGAGCCCGGGATGCTCATCAGGAGGTGGCTCTGGGGCTGCCCTTGCAGCCCTGCGCTTCCCTGCCTCTGTCCCCACAACTCTGCTGGTGTCCTTGCCGAGGGGGATCCGTGCAGTGACATGTGGTTGACAGGGGCCTCTGGACTCTGGTATGTGTCCGAGTCCCGGCCTGGACACCTGCCCAAGGTGCAGGACTGTGGCCCCGAGACTTGTGCTTAGAAAGCAGGGTCTCAGGACTACAGACAAGGTGACCCGGACAGCACGATGGTCCATAGGAAGGAGGGGACTCTGGTGGTCCCCGTCACCAATCAGGATTGTCTCAGAGTCCTGAGCAGATGTAACCCCTTGTGTGGCACTTGGACAGCCCGCATCTCACAGTGGGGACTCGGCCGCCAGGGCTCCCTCGCCCCGCCCCTTCCCGGCTCTGTGGCGGGAGCTTCACCTCTTCAGGCTCCCGTTATTCCCGCTGTAAACGGGATAATCTCTTGCAAGAGCTGCTGGCTCAGCAGGCCTTAGCTCGGCTGCGCAGGTGGTCCAAGGTGTGAGCCCCGCTCTCCCGCACCCTCAGCGGTCAGGGTGGGCGTGGGCTGCAGCCAGCGTTCATCCCAGGGTGTGGGAGTGCAGGCCGGGCCCGCCGACTGGGTGGGCACCCTGACTCCTCTCCACTCTCTGTGTCCTTGGGAAAGCTGCTGCAGCTCTCCGTGCCTCAGTTTCCTCCTGGGAACCTCGGGTCACAGCGTCTGTGGTGTGGCGTTGTCAGGGACGTCCTCTCTTTTGACACGTGGGGCACTGGGGGCAGTGCCTGCAGGTGCCGTGCGTGCTGAGTAGGGGGGCACGGGGCATACGTGGACGGTGCCGGAGGCCCCCAGCTCCCTCTGCAGGGGTCGGGGAGGAGGGGCGCGCAGCTGACCGCAGCTCTGTCTCCCTGTTCCTTTGCAGTTTCTCCTCAGTCTCACTCTTCTCGACCCACCTGTGCCCGCCACCTCCTCACCTTGGGCACTGGAGATGGGGGCCCTGCCCCACCCCCTGCCCCCTCCTCTGCGTCCTCCTCTCCTTCCCCTTCCCCCTCATCATCCTCCCCTTCCCCTCCTCCTCCCCCACCACCTCCAGCCCCCCCGGCCCCACCCGCCCCCCGATTTGACATCTATGACCCCTTCCACCCCACCGACGAGGCCTATTCCCCACCACCTGCTCCGGAACAAAAGTACGACCCCTTTGAGCCGACTGGCTCCAACCCCAGTTCATCAGCCGGGACCCCCTCCCCTGAGGAGGAAGAGGAGGAGGAGGAGGAAGAGGAGGAGGAAGAGGAGGAGGAAGGCCTGTCCCAGAGCATCAGCCGCATCTCTGAGACCCTGGCGGGCATCTATGACGACAATAGCCTAAGCCAGGACTTCCCAGGTGATGAGAGCCCTCCCCCGGACTCCCAGCCCCCGCAGTCCACCGTGGCCGCTGGCACGCCGCCACAGGCGGACTCCACCCGGGTGGACGGCGCCACCCGCCGGCGTGTCTTCGTGGTGGGGACCGAGGCGGAGGCCTGTCGGGAAGGCAAGGTCTCCGTGGAGGTGGTGACGGCAAGTGGAGTGGCCCTGCCGCCCCCCTTACTGCTGCCTGGTGACTCGGAAATTGAGGAGGGGGAGATCGTGCAGCCTGAGGAGGAGCCAAGGGTGGCGCTGTCCCTCTTCCGGGCCAGCGGCCGGGCTGCCCGCCCGCCTCCCGCGGCCCAAGCCACCCCCACGACCCAGCCCCCACCCCCACCACCTGTGCCCCGAGCCCCCGAGGGCGATGACTTCTTGTCTCTGCACGCGGAGTCGGATGGCGAGGGCGCCCTGCAGGTGGACCTGGGCGAGCCGGCCCCCGCGCCGCCCCCCACCGATGCGCGCTGGGGCGGCCTGGACCTGCGACGCAAGATCCTGACCCAGCGGCGGGAGCGGTACCGCCAGCGCTCCCCCTCCCCGGCCGCCCCCGCCCCAGCCGGCCCACCAGCCCGCAAGAAATCACGGAGGGAGCGCAAGCGCAGCGGCGAGGCCAAGGAGGCCACCTCTTCCTCGTCGGGCGCGCCACCCGCCCAGCCGGCCCCAGCCTCCCCCTGGGACTCCAAGAAGCACCGCTCCCGGGACCGCAAGCCGGGGTCCCACGCCTCGTCGTCCACCCGCCGCCGCTCTCGCTCCCGCTCAGCCCGCCGCCGCTCACGCAGCCCTGACCGCCGCCGTGGTGGCAGCCGCAGGTCCAGGTCTCGGGAGAAGCGGCGCCGGAGACGGCGCTCTGCCTCCCCGCCCCCGGCCACCTCCTCGTCATCGTCCTCCCGGCGCGAGCGGCACCGAGGCAAGCACCGGGAAGGGGGCAGCAGCAAGAAGAAGAAGAAGCGGTCCCGGTCCAGGGGCGAGAAGCGGTCAGGGGACAGCGAGAAAGCCCTGGTGCCGGCCCAGCCGCCCTCCGGTTCCACCTCCCTGGGCGGGGAGCGAGACAGCCGCCGCCGGGGGGCTGTGCCGCCCTCCATCCAGGACCTCACGGACCACGACCTTTTCGCCATCAAGCGGACCATCACCGTGGGCCGGCCGGACAAGTCCGACCCGCGAGGCCCCTCGCCAGCCCCCGCTTCGTCGCCCAAGCGCGAGGTCCTCTACGACTCGGAGGGACTGAGCGCCGAGGAGCGGGGTGGCAAGAGCGGCGAGAAGGACAGGCGCCGCTCTGGGGCCGCTGCTGCCGCCTCCTCCCGGGAGAAGGGGTCTCGGAGGAAGACGCTGGACGGGGGGGACCGGGACAGGGACAGAGATAGGGACAGGGACAGGTCATCCAAGAAGGTCCGGCCCCCCAAGGAGTCGGCACCCTCCTCAGGGCCCCCACCCAAGCCACCGGTCAGCAGCGGCTCTGGCTCATCGTCGTCGTCCTCATCCTCGTCCTCCCGGAAGGTGAAGCTGCAGTCCAAGGTGGCGGTGCTGATCCGGGAGGGCGTCAGCAGCACCACCCCGGCCAAGGAGGCTGCGTCGGCCGGCCTGGGCTCCATTGGAGTCAAGTTCAGCCGAGACCGGGAGAGCCGCTCCCCCTTCCTCAAGCCGGAGGAGCGGGCCCCAGCCGAGGTGGCCAAAGCAGCTCCGGGCAGTACCAAGCCCAAAAAGACCAAGGTTAAGACCAAGGCTGGGGCCAAGAAAGCCAAGGGGACCAAGGGAAAGACCAAGCCATCCAAGACCAGGAAAAAGCTCCGCAGTGGGGGCAGCAGCGGGGGCAGCGGTGGCCCTGGAGCACTGAAGAAGTCCAAGGCAGACAGTTGCAGTCAGGCGGCGGGGGCCAAGGGGGCCGAGGAGACTTCCTGGTCTGGGGAAGAGCGGGCAGCCAAGGTCCCCAGCACCCCTCCCCCCAAGGCAGCCCCTCCGCCCCCTGCCCTCACGCCAGACTCGCAGACTGTGGACAGCAGCTGCAAGACCCCTGAGGTCTCCTTCTTGCCCGAAGAGGCTGCTGAGGAGACTGGGGGACGAGGTGTGGTCGAGGAGGAGGAGGAGGAAGAAGAGGAGGAAGAGGAGGAGGAGGAGGAAGAAGAGCAGCAGCCTGCCACCACCACGGCCACCAGCACGGCTGCGGCCGCCCCGAGCACTGCCCCTAGTGCAGGGTCCACCGCCGGGGACTCGGGGGCAGAGGACGGGCCAGCGGCCCGTGTCTCCCAGCTGCCCACGCTGCCCCCACCCATGCCCTGGAACCTGCCCGCTGGTGTGGACTGCACCACCAGTGGCGTCCTGGCCTGTGAGTGTCCCCTGCGGGGGGTTGGCCAGGGCAGTCTGAGGCGGGCACAAAGGATCAGGGAAGAAGAGGGCACAGACATAGAGGCGTAGAGGTGTTTTGGGAAGGGTGGGGTTGCAGCCACCTGGGCCACAGGCACCCAGGTGGGCGCAGGCTGGTCTGGCTCTGTCCAGACGGCTTCCAGGTCTTTGGGAGCGGTGGTGAGAGGCCAGTGCAGCCCAGGCTGGCGGAGCGGAGCGTGGCCTGGGGCAGACTTGGTGGTGGGGCCAGAAAGACTGAGGGGAGCAGGCAACAGTGTCCCCTAGGGGATGGTAGCAGCTTTTGCCAGGACACAGAGGTGGGAGAGGGCCTGGGACTGTCTCCAGGGCTCAGGAGAGAGGATCTCACTTGTGTCAACACTTTGTCGCTGAGTGACCCCGGCCATAGCACCCCCAACATGCACAGCCTTTAGTCCCCGGAACACAGTGGGTATGGGGTGGTTCTTTCAGTGGCCGAGACCCACTTTCCTTAGTTCTGAGCCTGCGGCCTTCAGGCCTGGCCAGGGGCACAGGGCGGGAGACGGCAGCGTGCGGAGAGGGGAGGTTCACAGTCTCCTCTGCCAACCCCGCTGTCCCTGTCCTGGCCTCTCTGTCTCCCGCAGTGACTGCACTTCTCTTCAAGATGGAAGAAGCCAACCTGGCAAGCCGAGCAAAGGCCCAGGAGCTGATCCAGGCCACCAACCAGGTGTGCTCCCCGGGGCAGGGGTCCGCACGGCCCCTTCTCTTGTCCCATGCTTTGGGGTAGGAGGAGAAATAGCTCCCAGCAGACCTTGGGGCAAGGTATTGGTCCAAATTGGAGCTTATGGCCCTTGGGAGCGTTGGGAAACCAAGGTGGAGTAATAGGGGTGCCCGTTCCCTCTTCCCCTCCACCTCCCCCCGGTCACCCTCCAACCTCTTCCGCAGATCCTCAGCCACCGAAAGCCACCCTCCGGTCTGGGGGTGACACCGGCTCCCGTGCCCACCTCGCTGGGTCTGCCCCCGGGCCCCTCCAGCTACCTGCTCCCGGGCAGCCTTCCCCTGGGGGGCTGCGGCTCCACCCCTCCCACCCCCACTGGGCTGGCCGCAGCGTCGGACAAGAGAGAGGGCAGCAGCAGCTCCGAGGGTCGAGGAGACACAGACAAGGTGAGCCGGACCGGGGAGGTGGCTTGATGGTGACGGTTTTGCAGCAACAGGAGCAGAGGGAGAACAGTAGAGACTGACGCCAGCAGGCGGGGCCTTGAAGCTGCAGTTGCTACTTGGTAGGGAACTGCACTTCCACTGCCAAGGTCAAGCAGGTTCTCAAGAAGTCGTTTTCTGTATGTGTTACAATGTACTGGTGTAACGTACGCATATACGTGGGGGAGGGGGGAGGTGGAGATACGGCAGGCCCTGCCCCCTTCAGCCTACCCCTTGGGTGTCCGCACCCATCCCTCCCTCCCCTCCTGTGTGAGGGGAAGGGTGGCTGACCAGAGTCAAGCATTTCCTAGACGGAGGGAGGAGGAGTGGACGCTGGGCACATCCAAACAGGAGTCTATTCCATTGCATCAGGCTCCTGGGCCTCAGCCTGTTACCTTCTCGGTCAGGTCAGGACGGGGCGTTGCCTACCCTTACGTACGTCCCATGCGGTGCCAGAGGGAAGAAGGCAAGACAAACCCCGTAAAAAGCCCCACAGGAGAGATGGGCAGGGAGGGGCACGGCTCTGATGGTGCCTGGTGAAGGCAGGTGTGCAGGGCAGGGACAGTGCGGACCCTGCAACCAGCAGTGGGACCCTCGGTCTGTCTGGGTGAGGCCGCCTTGCTCCGTCCTCCACCTGTTGACCCTCTTGCCACATCTGAGCTGCCCATGGGGAATAGCCCCCTTTCTCTGCAGAGACCTGCTTCCTGCTGGGTCTGGGGGCCCCAGGCGCCCTCCAGGGTGGCCGGCAGTTCTCCCAGCAGTGGCGCTGCCTGGATGGCCTGGGAGGCCAGTGGACCGTTGGTGTCCTTGCCATCTGGTCTGAGATGTTGGCCCTGAAGTCTGCAGTGTCCTTCCCTCGCCGGGCCTCGGGTTACTTTGTTTTTTAAGATTTTATTTTATGATTTTACTTATTTTTAGAGAGAGGGGAAGGAAGGTAGAAAGAGGGAGAGAAACATCAATGTGTGGTTGCCTCTCACACTCCCCCTACTGGGCATCTGGCCTGCAACCCAGGCATGTGCCCTGACTGGGAATTGAACTGGTGACCCTTTGGTTCACGATCCACTGAGCCACAGCAAACAGGGCTAAAGATTTTGTTTTTTAGATTTTACTTGTTTATCTTAAGAGAGGAAAGGAAGGAGAGAGCGAGAGAAATATCGATGTATGGTTGCCTCTCTTGTGTCCCCTACAGGGAACTGGCCTGCAACCGAGGCATGTGCCCTGACTGGGAATCAAACTGCAATCCTTTGGTTTGCAGCCCCGCGCTCAAAGGGCTAAAATTTTTATTTTATTTTTTTTTTAGAGAGAGGAAGCAGGGGAGAAAGAAAGAGAGAAACATCCCTCCTGTTAGAGCTGTCCCCTCTGCTGGCTTTCGCAGAGACCTCACTGGAGGTTGAGGCAGGGTTCAGGGGTCTCTCAGCTGCTCCCTATCCTGTCCCCATGTCTGTCGCCGTCAGAACAGCCATGGCTTCCCTAGACTGCTCCTCACTGTGGCCTTCTTGTGCGTCACCTCGCCCTCCCCACAGGCACTGTCTGCAGATTACCAGTGAACGGCGGAGGGATCTGGTCCCTCACCCGGGCTCTCGGTGGGAGGACCAGGCTTCTAGCACAAACATGCCAGCTTGACAGCCTGAACCCCGAACTCTGAACTGTCAGCTTGCCTCCCAGCCCCACCCCATGCTCCTAGCCAGTCCGAGACCCCCAGGTCCCCTCACCCCACTGTCCACTCAGGAGCCAGGACAGCGTCACGAATCCCGTGCTGGGTCTTATCACCACCCCTCCGAAAAGCTTGGCGGTGCTTTCCTGCCGTCCGAATAAGTCTTGTAGAATCTGGTTACCACGGTCGTAACCGCCTGGCGAAGGTGTAGTCTCCCCGCCGGACTGTGGACTCTGTAAGGGCACAGAACGCATGTGTCCTGGTTGTGGCCACCTGGCATGGCCGGTGTCCAGCCTAGAGGACATGCTCGGTGACATTCAGCGGCCCAGGCCTGGCGGTGGTCCGAGTAGCCACAGCGTGGGACGTGCAGGCAGACCTGAAGTGGGACTTCCACCTGCGGGACTAGCGGGAGGGTCAAGGAAGCTGAGCCGGCAGGCTGGTGAGCGGGGGCCGGGGTTCCTGGGGAACTCACCCGGCCCCTGCTGTGCCCTCCCCCACCCTGTCACCCCCACGCAGTACCTGAAGAAGTTGCACACGCAGGAGCGGGCGGTAGAGGAGGTGAAGCTGGCCATCAAGCCGTACTATCAGAAGAAGGACATCACCAAGGACGAGTACAAGGACATCCTGAGGAAGGCTGTCCACAAGGTGGGCCCGGAGGGGGGCAGAGGCACAGGGGCCGGTGCAGGACACACCACACTGGAGAGACGGATGTGTGCAGACAGATGTGCAGAGACGGGGCCCCGGGGGTCGGCGGGTCGGCCTGCAGGGCGTGTGTGGGGGGGTGATGAGATCTCCTGCGGCCCACCTGGGCCTGTTTTGCACGGGCATCCGGGAGTAAGGAGGGACGTCGGCCTGGACGTTGGGGAAGCGCCTCCCCCCCTAGTCCCATGCTGTGCTCAGCGGTCCAGGTGGATGGGTCCCAGGGGCTGGCGGTGACCGCAGCTGCCCCCCCCCCAGATCTGCCACAGCAAAAGCGGGGAGATCAACCCAGTGAAGGTGAGCAACTTGGTGCGGGCCTACGTCCAACGCTACCGCTACTTCCGCAAGCACGGCCGCAAGCCTGGGGACCCCCCGGGGCCTCCACGGCCGCCCAAGGAGCCAGGGCCCCCTGACAAGGGTGGCCCGGGCCTGCCCCTGCCCCCTCTCTGAGACTCCCAGCCCCTACTTCCTCCTCCGCCTCTTTGGAATTCTGGACATATTTATGGCTCCGCCTCCCCGTGTCCCTCCCCCGTCAGTGGGAAGATGGGGGAGGGGGGCTGTGGGGAGAGAGCCCCCTGCCCAGCCCCGTGCCCACACCCCTTGTCTCCACGCCTGGCCCCGTCGCCCCTGCCCTCCTCCATGTCCCCCCCCAATTTCATTAAAGATTTCATGAAATGTTTTCCCCGATCCCCATGATTTTAGCTCTTTCTTTTCAGAGACAGATTTGAGAAAGGGTTGGGGAGGGACACACAGGAGGCTTGGCTCACGTGTGAGGGGAGTTAGCGGGGAGACCAAACTGTGTGCCTCGGCCAAGTGCATTCTCTTCTCTGGGCCTGTTTCCTCATCTGTGATTTCATTTGTTGTTTTTGCTGTTTTGTTAAGATTGCATTTATTTATTTTTAAAGACAGGGAAGAGGAGGGAGAAAGAGGGAAACATCAATAAGTCGTTGACTCTCATGCGCCCCCTACTGGGGACCTGACCCACAACGCAGGTATGCGCCCTGACCGGGAATCAAGCCGGCAACCCTTGGGTTCGCAGGCTGGCACTCAGTCTACTGAGCCACCCCAGCCAGGGCTGTGATTTCTTTTATTGATTAATTTTTTTAGAGAAAGAGGAAGAAACATCAGTTTTTGTTTTTGTGCTTTTTTTAAATGCATTCACTGGTTGATTCCTGTACTCCCCCCGACAGACTGGCACGTGCAGCCCTGGCGTGTCAGGGCGACGCTCTAACAAGCTGAGCCGCCCAGCCAGGGGCGTCTGCATCTGCGAAGTGGGTGCTGTGAGGACTGAGTGAGGCCCCGGCAGGGGCAGCCCTGGGTACCCCACTCGGTACGTCATGAGCCGTCGACAAGGTGGTGGTGGTGGGACGTAGGGGCCCCAGGCCCACCTGGTCGCTGTCTTCCCAGCTCGGGACACCCTGGTGCTCCCTGTCTGCCTTGGGAGTGTCGGCCCCCCGTTGAGTTGGATTGTGGTAGACAATACACACACGCTCACACACCAGTACGATGAGGCCGGGGTGACTGAAACCACCCTGGAGATGGAGAGAGAAGCTGAGACACGGCAAGGGCCGCGTGGTGCGTCAGGGGGCGACGGCCTCAGTCGGTCTCGGCCCAGAACCCGGGCCGGTGAGGGGAGGGGCAGACTCCTCTATGGCGGTCTCTCCCGGCCCTGTGCCGAGGGCACTCAGAGCCCAGGAAGGACTTGCCCGAGGTCACCCAGCAGGAGTTGGGGGGGACCCAAGGCCCCCAACAGACAGGACCGTTCAGTGAGTAGCTCTGCTTACTGGGCCTCGGCCCCAACCATTTGTAGGCCAGATGGAGGTTCCACATGCGGTCCGGGCCTCCCTCGGGGCAGCAGCTCTGACTGGGCCTGGATTCTGACCCAGCCGGCCATTCCGACTCTGTGGCCTTGAATCCTCTCTAAGCCTCACTGTCTCGGCTTGTAAAATGGGGATGACTGTCACTGAGTCCATGTCAGAGGTCAGAAGGTGTCAAGTGTCCCCACACAGTGCCTCGCTCTCACGCACTGGGCACCTGGGTGTCTGCGGTTTGCATATCATGTGTAAACTGAGGCCTGCAAAAGGAACAGTGCTTGGCTTGGGTCAGGGCTGGCCCGGAGACACCAGACACACAAGTGGTGACAGTGGCAAGAACCAGTTTATTGGATGGAGTAAGGGGCCTGGACCCGAGGGGTGGGCTCAGACCACCCCGGAGACCTCGAAATCCATGTCCTGGACCAGGTCCTGGAGGTAGACCTTGTACTGGTCCGGCGTGAGGGACAGCGAGTGGCCGTTGGAGATGTGCAGGTCCACCGTGTTCTCCATGGAGGAGGCGCCCCCGTCCCGGGCCATGTCCAGCAGGGCCTTGAGGCACGTGGGCACGACCTGCAGGCAGGGCAGAGACGCTGTCGGGGGGAGTGCTCCAGGCGGTCTAGTGTAGGGTGTGAGGGCGCAGTTCCCCGTATTCACAACCACAGGATGCCAGAGGGGTCCCCAGGAGCTCGGGCTGAGTAGCTTATGTTGGGAGAGCCCCCCAGGGGCCAAGGTCCCTCACAGAGGCTGCTGGGCAGGGTGGTCCGCCAGCTTCCGCAGGGCTCCGTGTTTAAGGCTGGGGGACTTGGCCGTTGGAGTTTCTCATGGGGCTTCCTGGGGGCAACCTATTCCCTTGGGCAGATCGCCCCCTCAGCTCCAGGGGCCTGGGGCTGCAGGCACCTTGACCATCACCAGCTTTTTGGTCCACGGCTGGTCCTGGGGCCACGACTCCCCCATGCAGAACCAGAGGGTGTAGCGTGGCGAGCGTCCGCTTCCTTCGATGAAGGCGATCAGCTCTGGGGGCCCAAGAGCCTAGTCAGGGGTGGGAAGACCCTACCTGCTCCTCCCCCCACCAGAGCCACAGCCGCCTTCTCTGTGGACCCAGAGCCTCACCAACCCCTGCCATCCAAACCGGGGTCTGCCGGTTCGGGTCAAGTCCCCACAATTCTGGCACAAACGAAGTTCCTTCTCCCTCCCACCCCTCAGGGTAGGACTGGAAGATCTGCTCCCACCTCGCCCGGCACCCCCCACCCCAGTCCTAGCCTTCAGGGTGGGGAAGCACGCCCAGGAGGGGAGCCCACTCCCCTAAAGATGCAGGGGCGGCTGACAGTCACTGCTCTCTGACGCTCTCAGGCCACACTGTCTGATGGGCTATTTAAATCGCAACTAATTAAAATGCAAATAAAGTTTTAAACTCACCACAGCGGCTAAGTATAATATAGCAACATATGGCTAGTGGATACCATACTGGACGGTGGAAAGGAAGTTCCATTGGCTACCAAAGTCCTACGGGATCTCTCTCTGGTGTGTCTGTCTGTCCACCGTGACTGGTAACCATGACGACGGCTAGGCAGCCTGTTCCCTCAGCCCCGGCTGTACAGTGGGCCCTGTGCCTCCTCCCGGCTCCGGGCAGGAATGCAGAGGGACAGTCCTCCGACTTGTCAGGCTCAGCTTACACGGCAGGCAGAGCATGGGGACCCCAAAAGGTGTGACCCCCGACTTCTTACTCGCCGGGCCCCGCTTTCCACAGCAGAGCAGGGCCTGCCCACTCACCTGTCAGGAACGGCCCCAGGTTGAACACGCCTCCTTCCTTGTCCTTGGGGACCTCGCCATCAGGCCCGTGACTAGTGTCCGGAAGGAGTTCCTCGCCCACAGCCCAGTACGTGTGGCAGCGCCCCAGCCTCCGGGCACAGATCCACTGTCCCGCCCTCCACAGAGCTAGTCCTCCGCCCAGGGAGCTCAGCACGCGACTCACGTAGCCCACCACGCCTCTGTCGGTCAGTAAGGCCCCGGGCTCGGGCAGTGGGACGGGCTGCCCCGTCAGCGTCCCGTCCCCCAGGTCGGGCCCCACCAGCCGCAGGCCGTTCGGGCAGGAGACAGTGTGCTGGAAGACTTGGCGGCCCCGGTAGAAGGCGGTCACCTCAAACTCCCACTCTGAGCAGCAGCGGTGGCGGAGGCCGTGTGAAGGGAGAGAGGGCATGAGGGGACCCGTCACCGCTGACCCAGCCGCTCCCTGCCCACGCCCACGGCGGGCACTCACCTTCCTCGGGCACGATGAGCCGCTTCAGTGGGTTTCCAAGTGGTTCCAAGTTTGGGCAGGGAGCAGGGATATCTAAGTTGGGGCTCAGCAAGAGTTGAGGGGGGTATTCTGGGGTGACAGGCAGGTTCGGGGGCCCCTCGTCTGGGACTGAGCCCAAGGCAATGCTGCTCAGTAATTCCAGAATGTCTTCCTGGAGAGGGGGGAGAAAGAAGGTTCTGGGCATTTCTTTTTGAGAGATTTTATTGATTTAATTTATCTTGAGAGAGAAGGGAAAAGAGGGACAAAGGGAGAGAAACATTAATGTGCAAGGAAAATATCAACCTGTCGGCTTTCACACACCCCTAGCCAGGGACCTGGCCCGGCAATCTAGGGATGTGCCCTGACCAGGATTTGAACCGGCGATCTTTGGGTTTTGGGGATAACGCTCAACCCACTGAGCCACACCAGTCAGGGTGGTTCCGGGCATTTCCACGGCCTTTTCTAGAGACTTCCCATGGACCAAGCCTTGGGCTCACAACATGGGGACCCAGAAAGCAGACAGTCCTGACCTTGGCCCTCAAGGGGCTTCTAGTCCAGGGGAGACAGCCAGGGGCACAGGCAGCAAAATACATGCTCAGACACAAGCACAGGGCCCCAGCTGACCAGAGGGGAGCAACTACCTTATTCTGCCATGTATCATGAGCACTGTTTGCCCAAATTTTTGAGGGAAAAATAAGAATATGCATTATAGATGGGTATAATGATTACATACCATGGGTACGATAATGGACATCATCATCTTGTGTATAATACGCACTGAACCATGGGTGCGTATTATACACGGGAGTACATTATCCACGGCCAAATACGGCAATTCCAGCCCAAGGATGTGGTTCCCTGCAGGCAAGACCTGGGAAGGGAAGTCTGGGCGGAATTTCAGAGGGGAATTTCCCTGGCATGGCCATCGGTGAGATAAAGGGTAGGGAGTTTCTGAGTTCCTAAGAGGCTGGAAAACAATAGCAGGTGTGGCAGGCCCCTGAATGCCTGGTGCAAACTGAATTTTCTCCAGAGGGTGCTGGGAAGCCATGGGAGGGCTGTGAGGAGAGAGATGGGGTCAGCGCTGGGGCAGGTGAGGGACAGAAGGGAAGCCAGGGAAGAGGCTGGGGAGATGGTCTGTGGGGAGAAGATGAGGCCCGAACAGCCCCAGGGAATGCAGAGAGGGGACGGGACAGAGACTGGGAGCAGGAGGGCCGAGCATGTTCTTACCTGGCTATTAGAGGTGTTGCATCTGCCATCAGTGTCTGGAGGGGTCCCCTGCTCAGGGAAGTCCCTAATTCCTGGTGAGAGAGGTGGGGATCAGAGAAGGGGTACTGGGGACTCTCAAAATCCCATCCCTCCCTGAGGACCCTCACGTCCAGCACACCTGAGTCCACAAACTCATAGACCTTGTGTGGGTCACGGGGGTCCTTGCTCCGGTCCTCAGCCAAACGCAACCCTTCCTTCCGGTTCAGGGCAGACCTGAAATTCCGCTTCCAGGTCGGCAGGTCAGGCTTATCCTTCCCAGGAGTGTAGGCACCGCTGGCCTCCGCCCAGGCCTGGGGGACCAGTGTACCAGGATGGAGAAGAGGATGATTCAGACCCCATCCTAGGGGGCATAACCCTGCCTCCTCCCATCCTGGCACACTGCGAACTTGGCCAGGTTCTACTCCCAAACTGCAGGATTCTCTGTGCTCCAGGTCCCCCTGCCTCCACCATTCAAAAATCTTTGTTTTCTAAGCTAACTTTCCACGTCTTACTGGGTGTCCAACTCTTCCCACCAACCTGCCCCAGGGCACCATCTGTAATAACCCGCCCCCTCCCACTCTACCTCAGTTTCCCACCATTGGGGCATGCTAATTTGGTGGTAAATAACCACAGCGTCAGCCCAGTATGGACTCTCAAATTCCGTGACCCACCTGCAGAATTATACTTCCCAAAGCCCAGCCCCCAGCGAGCCCTACACTCCCAGGATGCATTTCCTTCATGGTCTAACCCCGCTTTCCTGGTTCAGTTCCCAGGCCCTCCAAACCCTGCCAGCTATCCACCCCACCCCATTCTAACGCCACCCCTTGGAGTCCACCCCACTATGTGGCAGCTTTGGCTTTCCTGAATCTCAGCTGCCACACACCTGGAAGATGCCAAAGTCCTCCTGTTGGGCATCCTGCCGCAAGCCATGCTTCCAGGGGATGCGGAAGCGCGTGCGCCTCTGGTCCAGCCAAGCCACGCCCTCCAGGTGTCCCCCATCCAGCTGAGACACCAGCCAAGGCAGGATCCGGGGCTTTGGGGTTCCCATGGTCGGGCCTGCGGGGGAAAAAAGGGCAGATCGTGGGCGCAGGCGACCTCAGGCCCCCTGGTTCGAGAGTTCCACACCCGGACCATTTTCTCAGGGGGCCACAGTGCAGTTCGCTCACCTATATTTTCTTGGGGTACAAACCTCCAACTCCCATCATCCAGAAAAAGGCTTGCCAATTCAGCGAGGACTCCCTCCCAAATCCTTTTAGACCCTCTCATTTTCCCAGCTTCTGTGCAGACCCCTCTACCCGCCTCAATTCCGCCAGCATAGGCCCTCCACTCCTCCCCATCATCCAGTGCAGGTATCCCCGCTTCCAAGGTGAAACCTAAGAGCAGGTGCTACTCATGTGTAGACCTCTATCTGCCACACCTACCCCCGTGTGAACCCCCTTCCACGGTTCCCCGGTATGAGATCCCCTCACCCGTTCCCACTGAAGATCTCCATTCACAGTTTCCCCGAAACAGCCTCCCTCTTGCAGGGCATGCTCCCCACTTTCGAAAGTGAATTGCCTTCCTTTTACTGAGTACACCCTCCTCGCTATTTTTTTCCTAATTGTTTCTTTTTTGTTTGCTTTGTTTTTGCACCGGCCATTGCTTCACTTTCCCCCCTCCTTGCTTCTCTTTCCCCAGAATACACAGCTCTCCCCATCCTCTCTGCGGTTCCTCACTCCTGCATGCAACCAACTGCCCAGCTCTTCCGTGTTACCTACCCAGAGGGACGGGGCACGACGCAGGGTGCTGCCGCCCAGCCCTGACTTTGAGGTCCGGTAGCTCTCGAACTCGCAGCTGCACAACCCCCCCTTCCCGTCAGCTGAGACTTAGGGCTGTGGAGCTTTGTTTTCTACCGATTTCTTGAAATAACAAACGACCTGATCGTTATTTGGGTGACCAATTCCAAAGAATCGGCACCCGAAGCCCGGAGGGCCCCCGCCCAACCCCGTACCCTTTTTTGGCCTTCCGGCCACCGGCATGCTGGGAACGTCACATGCAAATTAGGTAACACCCAGGCTACTCCACGCTCCGCCTCCTCTCTGCATGCGGGTCGTCGCCAACCAGGCCCAGTGCGCAGGCGCGGGAAAGTTAAGCATAGTTTATGAGAGTTCGGTGAAGGAGGAGGTGGCGGACCCGGGGACCAGGTGAGTGGTGCGTTGGTGAGGGCTGGGGTGAGAAGGGAGGAGGAGAGGGCCGAGATCCAGGAGCGGGTACCCCAGTTCCGCTTCTTCGACAAACAAGCGTCCCGGGTCCCCAGGATTCCAGCCTCAGTGAAACTACAGCTCCCAGCAGGCTGCGCGGCGATCAGTTGCGAACCGACTGGAATGTTTGCCACGAAGCCTGTTGGGACTGGTAGTTCCCATCCTCTAACGGCTTAAGTAGCTTGGCGTATGCTCTCGGAATCCAGCAGTCGAAGCAGCAAGCTTCTGGATCTCCCTCGGGGATCCAAAGGTCTGGGCACAATCCCCTTCTCTCTCAAACTCAAGAGTTTAGACCCCCAGCCCGCTCTTCCCTTAGACGCATGGGATCCGGTCTCTCAGCTTCTTCCTCTGCTGGGATCCAGGAATCTAGGTGCTCAGCCCCCTTTCTCCCTGTGGGAACTCGAGCCCGGACCTCCAGACCTCAGTTCCCCGAAAGAACCTGGTTCAGACCCTCAGCCCCTTCCTCTGTTGGGGACTCCCTACTCCTGGCCTTCTCCTCATTCAGAGACTAGGAATCTTCCCCTTGAACCCTAGAGTCCATCCCTCAGCCCCCTCTCTCACAGGCGCCCCCATGGCAGGCTCGGAAGAGCTGGGGCTCCGGGAGGACACGCTGAGGGTCCTAGCTGCCTTCCTTAAGCAGGGTGAGGCTGCCGGGTCCCCCATCCCAACCCCACCCAGGTAAGAGTTGCCATCTTCCCCCAGGGCCTGCATTGGATGTGGGCGAGCTCTAACTCTGGCTCCCCTTCTCAGTCTGTCTCCTCTCTCCTCACTTTGTATCTGATTCTAGTTCTTGCTCACCGGGGGTGGCTGGAGTGGAGACCCTGAGTGGGAGGGGGAGAAAGGGACTGCTTGCAAGGGGCCTCTGGGGCCACTCTCTGAGGTCCCCTTCCCCAGCAGCCCTGCCCAGGAGGAGCCAACAGATTTTCTGAGCCGCCTTCGAAGATGTCTTCCTTGCTCCTTGGGTCGAGGAGCCGTTCCCCCTGAGTCCCCTCGGCCTTGCTCCCTGCCCCTTCGCCCCTGCTATGGGCCACAGCCTGGTAAGAGATTTCCCTGGCTCACCCATGAACTTACAGGGCTAGGAGCTTTGATTCTTAAAGTACAGGCAGGATGAGGAACCAGTTCTAGACCGCTCAGCTAAGGGCATATGTAGCTGTGTGGGGTCTCCAGCACCTACGCTCACTGTTCTGTGCCCTACTGTCCCAGTTAGGTTGCTGTTTGTCAATTCTGTAGTCCCTTTCTATTGTACCTCTCTCCTTCCATACGGCAGGAAGGCAGGAGACATGGTTTTCAATCACAAGTCCCTGGCTACTTGGTTACATGTGACTGGGAAAATCCTTTTCTTCCCTGCTCCTGTGTTTCTCCAGTAGCAAAATAGGAATGAGGTTCATTGGACTTAATCAAGAGTGACCAACAATCCTGGCTGGTGTGGCTCAGTGGATTGAGCACTGGCCTGTGAACCGAAGGGTCAACAGTTCAATTCCCAGTCAGGGCACACCAGTCAGGGCACATGCCTGGGTTGCAGGCCAGGTCCCCAGTAGGGAGTGCGCGAGATGCGACCACACATAAATGTTATTCTCCCTCTCTTTCTTCCTCCCCTCCCTTCTCTCTAAGAATAAAATTAAAACCTTTAAAAAAATAAGAGCGAACCTGGATAGACTAGTAATGGCTCCCAGGAGTGCTAGCTTGCAAAGGATATCCTAGCAAGGGAGAAGAGTTCTGTGATTAGTTGATGATGCTGGAAATGGATGAGGGACCGAGTGGTAAAAGCCACAGTGTCATGCACTTGCCTTCCTCGAATGGCATAATCTTCAAGGTCCAGTTCGGCTCTCACACTCTTTTAAGTCCATGTGGGGGCACACCATAAAGTAGAGAGTATGCGGGTGTTTTGCCAAGTTTGCTCACTGGGCCTCAGTTTTCCCTGTGATGAAAATGGAAATCACTGCTGCCTGGCAAGGTGGTTGGGAGGAGAGAATCCGGAACTTCCTGATGCCCTGGAGACTTATCCTGGGCTCTTTGCATCCCAGGCCCAGCCACTCCAGACTTCTATGCCCTGGTGGCCCAGCGGCTGGAAGAGCTGGTCCAAGAGCAGCTGAGATCCCCACCAAGCCCAGGTGAGGTGCACAGGGGCCCTGGGGACAGATGAGGGTAGAAGGGTCCCCAGGGTTCTCTGCCCCCATCTGAATTCTCTTCTGCCCCTCTCCCTCTAGAGTTACAGGGTGCCCCAGCCACAGAGAAGGAAGCCCTGCTACGGAGGCTGGTGGCCTTGCTGGAAGAGGAGGCAGAAGTCATCAACCAGAAGGTGATGGGCAGTCCATCCCATCCCTTAAGGAGCATAGGAACTGCGTTCTGATTGGGCCAGGGGATTGGTATTCTCCTTGGTTGGTCAGGAGGGTTAAGTGACAGAGGTGTGGCTGGGGCAGTACCTTAAATTTAAGGCTCGTGTCACTCCCCAGAGGAACGTGGCCTAAAGGCAGGGGGTGTGACCACCAGAAAGAAGATCCAGGAAAGAGAGTGAGACCAGTTGAGGAAGCAAGGGTGGTGGTGGGAGTGGGGTTGGGTTTCAAGAAAATTGTCTAAAATCTGGAGCCCTCACTGCCTGTATAAGGGTGTGGCTTAGAATGTGGGGCAAATGGACTGGTTCGTGACTGTCCTGGAATGTGACAGTGTGTGGTCCCATCACATTAATTTCGTGGTTGCAGGTAAGGTTGTTGTAGGACATTGGCCTGGTCTGCGGGGCTCCCGGGGGACCCGGCTGTGGGCGTGGTCGGCGGGTTAGCCTTCTACAACTGGGGTACAGTGGGGCTTGGCTCTGGCTCCCCTCTGTTGTGGCCTGGGTGGGGGCGTGGCTTAGCTTCACGGGTTCTTGGACGCCTTCCTGCAGGTAGGTTTGGCAGACACCCGGAGTCTGGTTTATGATTGGCTGCTGTAGTGGAGCCCTGCTTAGGGCCACGGTATCTAGAGGTCCCTTGAATCAGAAAGCCACGCCCTCCAGCCTCCTACTGGCTGACCTCCAGGGCAGACCCTGCTTCTTCCCCCATCCGCCCCGCAGCTGGCCTCGGACCCCGTCCTGCACCGCAAGCTGGCCCGCCTCTCCGCCGGCTCCTTCGCCCGCCTGGTGGAACTGTTCTCCAGCCGGGAGGGTAGCCCTCGCCCCTCCTTGCCGTCCTGCCCCAGGCCCCCGCCGCCTTCTCCGGAGCCCTTGGCCCGCCTGGCGCTGGCCATGGAACTGAGCCGCCGCGTGGCCCGGCTGGGAGGCACCCTGGCGGGACTCAGCGTGGAGCACGTGCACAGCTTCACGCCCTGGATCCAGGCCCACGGGGGCTGGGTGAGCCCCCCAAGTCTCTCTGGGCTTACTTGACCTCACTGCAATGGGGGCGAGGGGCTGCTTCAGTTTCCATTCAGACGTCACAGGTGTTCTCCCAGCCCTCCCGCTCACCTGCTGTGAGCACCTGCTGTGAGCACCTGCCCTCTGCCAGGCACTGGGGTGATCAGCGGGTTATTGTGAGGATTAAATGGGATCTTCCTCATAAGTACTTGGCATTTGTGCCATTATCTGGAGACAGCCTGGGCAACTCTGCCTGCAACGCCCTTGCCCGGGTGACCCCCTGCCTCCCTGACTCTGCTCTGCTCAGGTATTACCCCCAGGGAGGCCTTACCTGCTCCCCACTTAAAACTGCAGCCACGCCGCGGCTGGTGTGGCTCCTGGATTGAGTGCCGGCCTGTAAACTAAAAGTTCACCAGTTGGATTCCCAGTCAGGGCCCATGCTTGGGTTGCAGGCCAGGGCCCCCCCCCCAGTAGGGGGCGCACGAGAGGCAACCACACATTGATGTTTCTCCCACTTCTCCCTCCCTACCCCTCTCTCTAAACACAAATATATAGAAATATTTTAAAAAATAATAAATAAACCGCAGCCACCCCTACACCCTCTCACACACTCCCTGTCTGCTGCCTTCCTTCTATAACACTCTGCACCTTCTACCAGGTGGGAGAAATGACTAGTTATTTTTAAAAATATTTTATTGTTCAATTACAGTTGTCTGCATTTACCCCCCCAGCACTCCCCCCACCCCAGCCGTTTCCACCTTGCTCCCCTGCAGAAATAACTAGTTTTAAATCTTCTTGTTGTCTCCTGCCCCTGACCATCCTGGCTCGCTGTGTTCAGTCCAGGCCTGGAGCTGGACCGGGCTGCAGTATACCCCCGGCTGTGGACCTTGGCGGCTGCCCCCCTCCCTTCCCCTAGCGCTTGTCTGCCCTGGCCCATCGGCGCCACCTCACTGGCCTTGTTGCCGTGGGGACGCTGTCAGAGAAGGGTGGGTGCCGGGCCCTCGGAAGGGAACATTGCTCCCCAGGCTGGTGGGAGCGGCCAGGTGTGTTTGAGAAGCAGAGGGGCAGCGCTGACAGCGGGAGGGGTGGTCGGGTTGTGCAGGGCCTGCTGTCGGAGAGAACTGGGAGTTTGACGCGGAGGGAACCTGGAATCCCTGCAGGGCTTTACAGGAGGGGACTCGGGTGTTAACACCCGCCCTCTGGTGGCGGCGTGGAGAACTCAGGAGAGGGCAGAAGTAGGGAGCGTGGAGGGGGTGCCTGTGCTGGTTGGGGGGGGG